AATACATAGAAACAGTAAGCGCAGTGGCTGGCACATAGGGTGACCTCTCTTCTTATTTTGGCATCTCCTTGCTGTTGCCTCCCAGGATGGAGTGCCAGAAGGCATGGAGGAAGAAGAAAAACTTAAAGATCCCAAACAAGATGACAGACTCTCTTGATCACCAAGATTAACAAGCCTGTTTACTTCACTGTCCACAGCGTCCACATCCTTCATATTCCCAGCAGCCTTAGAGGCATACGTGGGAACTCCTCAGAAGGAAAGAAGAGAAATGTAGCTTAGGGGGAAAGTCTTATAGGAAATTAAAGTGGAAAGTGGGGAAGAGGAAAGAATACGCAGGGTGATAGCAGCTGGTTCAATAAAAGTCTCTTTATTCTTTGAACAATCAAGAGAGTAGGTGTGCCTGGGCATGGTGGCTTATGCCTGTAATACCAACAATTTGGGAGGCTGAGAGAGGCAGATCAGGGGTTCGAGACCAGCATGGGCAACATGGCGAAACCTCATTTCTATTAAAAATACAAAAACATAGCTGGATGTGGTGGTGGAGGCTGAGGTAGGAGGATCAGGATCGTGTGAGTCCAGGAGGTGGACGTTGCAGTGAGCTGAGATTGCCCCATTGCACCCCAGCCTGGGTGACAGAGCCAGACCCTGTCTTGAAAAAGAGTAGGCTGGGCACAGTGGCTCACACCTATAATCCCAGCACTTTGGGAGGCTGAAGTGGGTGAGTCACCTGAGTTCAGGAATTTGAGACCAGCCTGGCCAACATGGCAAAACCACATCTCTACTAAAATCAAAAATTAGTCAGGCATGGTGGTGGGTAACTGTAATCCCAGCCAACTGGGAGGCTGAGGCAGGGGAATCGCCTGAACCCAGGGGGCAGAGGTTGCAGTGAGCTGAGATCATGCCATTGTAGTCCAGCATGGGCGACAGAGCAAGACTTCATCTCGAAAAAGAAAAGAGATTGAGAGTGGATGTGGACAGTGGCCTTCTTACCTTCAGGTTCTTAAATCAGAGGCAAATTAATTTCTCAGAGTGAGGCTGCTCATTTTTCATGAGTTTGTTAGTCAAAGTTGTAATTTTTAATTTATTTTTTATTTTTGAAACAGAGTTTCTCTCTTGCTGCCCGGGCTGGAGTGCAGTGGTACGTTCTTGGCCCACTGCAGTCTCCGCCTCCCGGTTTCAAGCAATTCTCCTGTCTCAGCTGGAGACTCTCCTGCCTGTAGCTGGGACTACAGGCATGCACTACCATGCCTGGCTAATTTTCATATTTTAGTAGAGATGGGGTTTCACTATATTGGTCAGTCTGGTCTTGAACTCTTGACCTCATGATCTGCAGCCTCGGCCTCCCAAAGTGTTGGGTTTACAGGCGTGAGTCACCACGCCCAGCAATTTTGTATTTTCAGTAGAGACCGGGTTTCTTCCTGTTGGTCAGGCTGGTCTCGAACTCCTGACCTTAGGTGATTCACCCACCTTGGTCTCCCAAAGTGCTGGGATTTCAGGCATGAGCCACCGCACCCAGCCTGAAATGTCTCTTAAAGGAGTTAGGGCCATATGATTGTTCATTTTTAATTTGCAAAGCTATGCTGGTCAGAGGCAGTGTATAAAGGCCATAGCTGTATTAAGGTAAAATTTGATTCTCCTTTGAGGTCCACAATCAGTACTTCCTAATTTTGATCAGTTTGTTATAAAACTCATTTTTTATGTACTGTAATACATGAGAGAGTGGATTAGAAAAAGGTTTGTATTTGGTTTGGCTTTTGTTGTTTTGTCCTTGGAGTGAGCCAAGCTTTGGTAACGTTAAAATTTAAAAATAGGCTGGAGGCCAGTTGCAATGGCTCAACACCTGTCAGCCCAGCATTCTGGGAGGCCGAGGCCAGAGGATTGCTTGAGCCCAGGAGATTGAGGCTGCAGTGGGCCATGATCATACCACTGAACTTCAGCCTGAATGACAGAGCAAGACCCCATCTCTTTAAAAAATAAAGAAAAAAAGAGCACAAGATTGAAGACAGTTGTTAGAACTCCTGGATTTTTATGTCTGTTTCCTAGAGTTAGCTTTTTCCGGTTCAGGTGAACAACACTTCATCCTCCTTATCAGAACAATTTTTTACTCCTCCCAAGGCCATCCCAAGAGTCCAGTGTAATAATACAGGGAACATATACTTAGAATAGATAGACTATATACTAGCTTGCTTGCTTGCTTGCTTGCTTGCTTGCTTGCTTGCTTTCTTTCTTTCTTTCTTTCTTCTTTCTTTTTCTTTCTTTTCTTTCTTTTCTTTCTTTCTTTTTTTTTTTTTTTTTTTGAGACAGAATCTCACTATGTTACCCAGACTGGTTTCAAACTCCTGAGCTCAAGCAATCCTCCTGCCTCAGCCTCCCAAAGCTCTGGGATTATAGATGTGAACGATTGTGCCCAGCCACTGGCTTGCTTTTTTCTTGTTTTCTTATGCTTCAAAAATCTTTATTTGGCTTCAAGGAATTAGATAATCCCAAATCTATACCTAGTAACATTATTAGTACAGTTCACCCAGCCCCATGTGATTGAGCAACCAAGTCCAGTACCTGACTTATGGGGCCAAGAGGCATTGAGAACTTCTTCCCAATGAACCTGCAATGGAGTAGGTCTCTTTAGACTTGCTTTTCATTCTCAGCTTGGAAAAACTCATACACGGCTTCCTAAAGGAAACCGTCATGTTATGGTTTCACTTTGAAATTAAAAACATCTCCAAATAAGTTTATGGAGCATATTCTGCCTCATTGCTTTGCTTAGTACCAGCACAAGAAACACCAGTGGGTCAGCCCCATAGCTTCCCCCACAGATCTGGAGCCGAGAACCTGGATTCTGGACACTCGAACAGTTCTACTCAGAAGGCGTTTAGAATTTGTGCTGATGACTTCCTAGTCCTAACGTACGTCTCCACCATAGGTGTATGTTATTCCTGCAGACAAGCTAGCAGCTTTTATGCTTGGACAAACATGGATGAAGGACCTGCTTAGCAATTTCATGTTTATTGTTTCATTTAATTCCCTGAAGAACCCTCTGAAGGAGGAGGTGGTATTAGCTCTGTTTTATAGATAAGGAATTAAATTCAAAAAAAGATTATTTAAATATGTCCTACTTTGTACCCATAAAAATTAAAAATTAAAATTTTTAAAATGACTTACAATCACACAGCTTATAGTTGGCAGAATTAGACCTCCAGAAAGTTAAGCCCAAGTTTTGATCCTTTTGTATTCATGTATGCATGATGATTGGGTTTTTACTATCACGTGTGAGATGTGCCTCCTTCAAGCTTGTTACCATGTCAGCATGTGATCAGTCCGACTCAGGGGGAAAAAACCCGTTTTCTGACTCCAAATCCAAGGCTGCTTCATTCCCAACTTGTCCTTAACAAAGAGGCATAAGGGGCTTCAGATACGGGGGACTGTCCTGCTTCCTGTGGGCCTTGGGGAAAATCCCTGGCTTTCCTGGGCTTTAGCTTCCCCATTAGTGAACAGATATGATAAGAACTCTCCCTTCCCACAATCTTATGATGTTCAAGGTCAAAGGAGTGATGGGTCGGAAAGATTATTTGAAAACACTTTGTAAACACAAGGCATTAGCTTATTACTTTCACAAATGTTAGCTTCTTTAGATTTCTGGACAGTTTTCTTTTGGTTTTATTGGAAGAAATGTGGCGGAATTTGGATTTTTTAAAATAATATTTATAACAGCAATTTCTTGCCATATTACCACATTGAACTCAAATCCTGGAATTTCCCAAAACCACTTAAAAATTAATTCTGGTCAAGTAGACAGTTTGTACTCAAAGCAGTAAACTGGATCCTTGCTCATTAAACCAGTCTAGACGCCCAGGTTGATGTGTCACATTTTGCTCCCTACCTTTAAACAGATATAATCATTGTGGTCTTGTGAATTTCTCAGGCCAGCTCCTCGCCCTCCCCTCTTTTCCTTCCTTCCGTAACTCAGGCTTATATTCAGTGTTGAGCTTAGTTGCATATATTCCTATGGGAACAAGGGTCGAAGCCCCCATGGCTCTTCTGCTTTCAGGGCCACCTAGCAGCCTCTCATGAACCATCTTCAGGCACCAGACCTCCCAGTGGCACTGCCCAGTTGTCCCAGTGCAGTGACAGTCCTCCAGCCTAAAGATGGCATCAGCAGAGCAGGGTGTCATTAGTGAAAAGCATCTCTACAGTAGAAGCCAGTTCAAGGAACTCCAGATGTGGTCCCTTGGCAGCCTTCTCTAAAGGGTGGAAGGGGACAGCCCCTGAAGAGGGTCTAGGGAGGCATCTGAATTTGAAGGGAGTGGGCTCTGTCAGAACACTCAGCATGGCTGCATTGCCACTGCTCCCAGGGTTCTGTCATTGATGTGCATGGCCCAACCTTGGTACCATCTCTGTGTCATTCACAGTCTGATGCTTTGGATTAATTTCGTTATTCCAACTACTGAAAGCAACTGATGAGAAGTTAAGACGTAAAAGTTCAGAGGAGCCCGGCGCTGTGATATGTGCCTGTAATCCCAGCTACTCAGGAGGTTGAGGAAGGAAGATCACTTGAGCCCAGGAGTTTCAGACCAGCCTGTACCACATAGTGAGACCCTGTCTCAACAAAAAATGTTCAGAGGATTCTCCTATGGTTGTGTACTGCAACAGGGTTAATTTCGTATCCAAGGTTTCTGGTGTTTCAGAAACAGACACGTGTTGCCCGCCTGCCAGGATCTGAGAAGAAACTAGTCTGTGCTGTTAGAGGAAGGGCCCCAGAACACCAAAGATGAGTGTTTCCATTATTGACCCCCAAAATTAGGGGAGGAGACCAAGAACATTTTTCAGATGAAATTATTAGACTGAGCTTTCTGCATGGTAATAGATAATTGATACTCTTTTGGCATCTGCAAGACATCGTCCTCAAAGTGCTGGTAAACTATCTGCCCGCAAATAACCCGCACATCTCCTACCCTACCCTCAGATGTGTTGAGTGTAACTACCTCTTCCCTTTGTTTTCTCAGCATTAATAATAAGCTACAGCAGCCAGAGGCAGCAGCCGGAGTGTTGGAATATGCCATGAAACACTTTGGAGAGCTGGTAAGCGCCTCATTCCTTTGCAAAAGCAGGGCATAGAAACTTGGCTAGGGAGGTATCTATACGGCCCTGACCTTTAGAAAGTTGCCTTCCTTTTCTGTTTTTTCCCCAATTTGTAACAGTCTAATACTGACTTACCTATCTTCAGGATGAAAGAGACAAACAATAGGCCGGACTGAGTGGCTCACACCTGTAATCCCAGCAGTTTGGAAGGCTGAGGCGGGCAGATCACCTGAGGTCAGGAGATCAAGACCAGCCTGACTAACATGGTGAAACCCCGTCTCTACTAAAAATACAAAAAATAATTAGCCGTACATAGTGACAGGCACCTGTAATCCCAGCTACTCAGGAGGCTGAGGCAGGAGAATCACTTGAACCTGGGAGGTGGAGGTTGCAATGAGCTGAGATCATGCCACTGTACTCCAGCCTGGGCGACAGAGCAAAACACTGTCTCAGAAAAAAAGAAGAAGAAACAAACAAGGTCTGTAGGGACTATATTTCAGCTGAACATAAATCATGAGGGTAGACGTGAATACACAGTAAGCACTGATTTTATCAAACTCTTAGCATGTGCCTGGCCCTTGGCTAAGTGTTTATATACTTCATCTAATTTGGTCCTCACAACAATGCTATAGTGGTTTCTGAGTTTTTTTTTTTCTTTCTTTTTTCTACTTCCTGTTGATTTGTAAAAGTGGTTACTGTGTTATCACATTTTACAGCTGAGAAGACTGTGGTCCCAGCAGGTTAAGAACCTGTCTGAGCTGACAGAGAGGATAAATGGCAGAACCAGGACTTGAACCAGGGCGGTCTGACATTAGAGCCAAGGCATTTGCCCCTGATCTGAGTTATCTTTGTGGGAGCTTGCATTGTGTCTAGGCCACAGCTAATCCTCGCTGCATGCTTAAGAAGACACCGTGGTAGTTCTTCAGAAAATATATGCTATAATTGATACCTGACATTGAGGGATTTTTGTGTTCGTTATTGCTTACATAGCTGCTTCTCTACTGCCATCTTTGGCCTTCCAATATTTAAAATGTTTCTGTTATTCTTTGTGGTCTTGGCAGGGCATTTTGATAACTTCCAAAATATATAAAGCATCAACTTAGCATTGAATTCCTGGAAGGTCAAGAAGTTCTAGATCCATATATTTGATGAGGAACCTTTCATTAGTCATGTAGGTCGTTTACTGTGGTTTGCCTTGATCAGGAGCCCAGGATATTAAAGTGAGAAAAATTTTGAATATTTAACAGGCTTTTGTTTGATCATCCAGCATTTTGCCTCACAGACAGGCTAGTAAATTAGAATGAAACTTTTAAGGGAATCTTTTGCCCTCTTTAGCACATATTATCTGTAACTAGACTAAGACAGCATTTCTCCAGTTGATGGCACAATAGAAAGAACTATGTCTCATCCATCCTTGCCACAATCCTTGTTTGCAGAGAGAAGAAAGTAGGGCGAGAGGGCACTTAATGTACTCCACCTAGACCAAGATGTTCTCTCCTTTGATATCCTTAGAGCTTAGATCCCAGTAAGTGCTGATTGAAACAAGGACTCCGCAGACATCTGGTATTCAGGTGATCTGCCAGCAGTTGGTTTATACCCATACTCAGAATGCCAACCTTCAATGAAAGTTTCTCCATCTTCAGGTTCCAAAGGTGGCCATTAGCTCCAGGATTATTGCTAAACCCATGGTGGATTTTCTGTTATATTTAGGTAGCTGAATCATATTAAGCTTGACAATGGTTTGCTTTTTCTTGGCAGAGCCTGTGCTTTCTCAGCACAATTTATGTAACAGCAGTCTCATTAGAATTTTGTGTGATTCTCTGCTTAAACCTTATAGTTTCTGCAATCTATTGCAATTCAAAATATCTTGCCCTCTAACTGACGCACTCCATATGCTGTCCCCTCTTCCCCACTGCTTGTTCATGCTGAGTGTATGCCACACATTAGTCACCAGCTCTTTTTTTTTCTTTTTCCACCAGTGTAGAAATTTGAAATGAAAAATGTGCCAGTGCTTTTAAATTTGATATTGTTTTTGTAGTCACTCTTTTAAGTTTTCTATTTTGTATGTAGGCATAATAGGCATTACTTTGTACAGGCTTGGAAAATGAAGTTGAGGTAGTTTGCCTTACATGGAGCCAGTTATGCCCCTTTTGACAAACTCCACTGATGTTGGGGGAAGACTTCATGGCAGCAGAATTAGTCCAGAGGCAGCAGAGGGCACTCGCTCTGCCAGAAAGAACCAGAGAAGGGGAAGTAGGTACAAGGGAACAGCCTCTGACATAAATGACCTCCTTTCAGAGGTTCAAGAAGAAAAGGTTATTTTAGACAGCTTAGCAGAGTAGTTGTTAGTCTACATATTGCACAAACATCAGTTTTATTTATAAAGGGGAAGAGGGTAATGGGAGAAACTAGTGTGGGTCCTGCATTATATCATACAAAGTTCACTGCAGAATCATAGTGTTGTTAAAGAAATCCCTAGAGAGCTACTACCCTTGCCTGTGCAAAAATAGTCATTTATTGAGCTGGTGATGAAGCAGCCCAGGAGAGAAACTGAGATGGAGGGCAGACAGAAAGCAAATAAAATAGTCTCCTGATCATTTAGAGAGTCATAGTCTATAAGGTTCAGCCTGTAGCACCTCCTACTCACGTGGACAATACCCAGTTTCAGCATGGCACACCGTCTGCTAGGGTAATGGAATCCCTCCTTTGGCCCCTGACACTGGTAAACCTGCCAAGCACTGAGCAGGAGGGAATATTGGAGGGGAGACTCTAGAAGAATAGGGGAAAGGCTTTCCAAAGAATTTTAAGTGGTGGTGGTATATTTTAAATTATTATTTCCTGAAAGTTTAAAAATGCATTAAAAATGCAGAGGATCAAGAACTTTTAACAAGTGAGTTGTTTTCCTCCAGCAAATATGCACACGAGGCCTGGTCTTTCTGGCCCCATCAGGAAAGCAGCTGCCATCCCTGATAAGTAGCCCAGTGTCAGCACTCTAGCAGATTGGAGCGATGGCACCTTTGCAGCAGCTCTGGTGCTCTGGTCGGGGTTTTCTCCTGTCCCTAAGTGATTTCCCCTGTCCTCACATCCCCACATCCTGGTGTTCTGGTGACCCATGTGTCTGGGGAGGAAATAATGGGGGAGGAGAATGGCCTGACATCTGCTCTCAGATAATCCCAGGATCATTCCATCCATGTGCATTCCCACCTTCCCCAAACAGCACACCTCCAGATCGTCGCAAGCTCTTTTTAATCCAAGGCCACACATACTGTGATAGGTGAAGGGTCATGCATACAACAGCTCATTAGGAAAGAGAGTATGTGAATTAAAAAATGTGATCCCTTCATCTCTGTGCCTCACAGCAGTCTTCTTTCTTTTCCATGTGACAGGAGATCCAGGCAACCTGGTATGAGAAACTGCACGAGTGGGAGGATGCTCTTGTGGCCTATGATAAGAAAATGGACACCAACAAGGATGACCCAGAGCTGATGCTGGGCCGTATGCGCTGCCTTGAGGCCTTGGGGGAATGGTGAGCTTCCTAGGATGATGGCATGTGTGGGTACAAGAGACTTTTCTCTTTGATAGTTGGATTTGAAAGGAAGGCTTCCCTCAAATGAAGTTCTCATTTCAGACTCATTTTGTTCTACTTGATATGTCTCAGGACTCATCTTTCACTTATGGTGTTTTTCTTTCTCCATTCTGTCTCAGCTACTAAGTAGCAAGGCTTTCACTGAAACTTTACAATGCTGTAGGCAACAGCCTTGGGGGTGCTCCTAGGATCTGCTTTTCCTTCTGTCTACTCTCTTGATCTTTCCTGATCCAGTGAAGAGCTCAGATTCCTACTTGGCAACCTTGGTTTTTTAAACTAGCTCTTGCAAATGCTTTTAGGAAAGAACAATGACTGCCCTCTTCAGGTGCTTCACCTATATCGGATGCTGACTGTGTGTTCAGCACTATGCCAGGCTCCAAGGAAACAAGACACGAGAAAGCAGCCCTTTCCTGTGAGGTTGATGAGACGGGCACATCAACAGAGGGTTATTAAAGCCTGAGAGGATGTTGACGGTGCTTGAAAGCCCAAAGGAGGAGGCAGGGTTATCTTGTAGTACTTACTGGAGGAAGGACTGGAAGTTAGGGGACAGGTAAAGGAAAAGAGAGAGGGGCAAATAGGTACTCCAGGTGGAAGCAACAATAATATTTAACTGAGAACATCTGGCTAGGTTTTGGTTTGGAGAGTTGCTTGGGAGTGAAGGATAAAAATGGCCTCCATTCTGTTTCTAGCACCAAGTGCAATTAAAAAAAAATAATTAAAATGAAATGCTATACTGTTATTGTTAAATTGTTTAACTGCAGTTTTAAAGGGCTAAAACAGCCCAGGCATGGTGGCTCATACCTATAATCCCAGCCCTTTGGGAGGCCGAGGCAGGCACATCATTTGAGGTCAGGAGTTTGAGACCAGCCTGGCCAACATGGCGAAACCCTGTCTACTAAAAATACAAAAATAAGCTGGACATGGTGATGTAGGCCTGTGATTCCAGCTACTCGGGAGGCTGAGGCAGGAGGATCACTTGAACCTGGGAGGTGGAGGTTGCAGTGAGCCAAAATTGGACCACTGCACTCTAGCCTGGGCGACAGAGCAAGACTTTGTCTCAAAATAAATAAATAAATGAGGCTGGGCACGGTGGCTCACGCCTGTAATCCTAGCACTTTGGGAGGCCAAGGCTGGTGGATCACAAAGTCAGGAGATCGAGACCATCCTGGCCAACATGGTGAAAACCCCGTCTCTTCTAAAAATACAGAAAAATTAGCTGGGCATGGTGGCTCACGTTTGTAGTCCCAGCTGCTCAGGAGGCTGAGGCAGGAGAATTGCTTGAACCCAGGAGATGGAGATTGCAGTGAGCCGAGATGGCGTCACTGCACTACAGCCTGGGCAACAGTGCAAGACTCCATCTCAAACAAAAAAAAAAAATGCCTAAAATAAAGTGCCATGCTACCTCCCCACTAGTGGATAATTCCAGCTTTGTCTTGAACATGATACTGAGGGTTCACTGTTCCTTCATTCAACCAGTGAGCATCAAGTGCATGTTCATTGCCAGGGTCTGTGCCAGGCCCTAGAGACAGCTGTGAGCAAGAGTCTTGGTCCCTGCCTTCCCAGAGCTTACAGGGCAGAAAACCAGGCTATTGTGGTACATTATGATGCCAGGAATAAAGAAGCCCAGGGGGCTGTGGGTAATAGGAAGCACCCTAATCAGGCGTGGAAGGTTATGGAAGGTTTCCAGGAAGAAGCTATGATATCTAATTTGGACCTGTAAAGTGAGGAGCACAGTATGGGGGATTTTATCAGGCCTTTTGTTCAGATTCTTCTCTGTGACCCCTGTCTTCAGAATAAGGACATTCCTTTCCTCCGGGTATAGGGAAGGCACCTCTCACAGTAGAGCCTTATGACCTCCTTCAGGGAAGGTCAAAATTATTTTTCCTAGAGGTTATGACCTGCTTCAGAGGATAAGGGGCAAGGGATGGTCAGAGTGATTTTTTTGCTGCCATTTTCTCAAAATATTCAGTATGTCACAGTGCCATATTTCAGGGTCACAGGGATGTACAGTGATGGTAATGTGCTGTTTATACCGTGTGGCGCTCTGCTGTTTTCACTTAACAAGTCCAGACCACGGTTCCATATCAGCACCTATAGAGCTACTGCCTCATTTTTTTAATAGCTGCATGATATTTAATCACACAAATAAATCTAGTGTATTTAATATAGACAATTTTTATTTGTTAGATATTTTCTACCTTGGAAAATTTAAGAATATTAGACAAAATCAAAGCAAGTCTTCTAAAAGAGTGATCGCTCCTTTATAGCTGGAACTACAGCCATACTCCACCACAGCAGGCTAGCTTTTTAAATTTTTTGTAGAGACGGGGTCTCACAGTGCAGTCTAGGCTGGTTTCGAAATCCTGGGTTCGAGTGATCCTCCCTCTTCGGCTTCCCAAAGTGCTAGGATTATAGGTGTGAGCCACTGTGCCCAGTGTTCTTTTTTTTTTTTAAGAAACAGGATTTTACTCTCTCAGTGGAGTACAGTGGTGTGATCATAGTTCACTATGTCTTGAACTCCTGGACTCAAGCAATCCTCCTGCCTCAGCCTCCTGAGTAGAAGGAACTACAGAAATGCACCACCATGCCTGGATAATTTTTAAAAATTATTTTTTGTAGAGACAGGGTCTCGCTATGTTGCCAAGGTTGGCCGTTATTTCTTAATATAAAATTATTACTACATTCCCAAGATAGAAGATGTTATAATGTTTTGCATGAAAATTTAATGTCAGTGAATGTATCCTTAGTCATTGGATCATGTATGTGTGTGTGTGTGTGTGTGTGTGTGTGTATATATATAGAGAGAGAGAAAGAGAGAGAGAGAGAGAGAGAGAGAGATAATCTGAAATTATTTGAAAGTGGCTTGTCTGATTTAACCATCATTAGGTAGATTCAAAAGTGTGATTTATTTTTATAAATTAGCATTCAAAGGCTGGGTGCAGTGGCTCACACATGTGATCCCAACACTTTGGGAGGCTGAGGCGGGCAGACTGCTTGAGCCCAGAAGTTTGACAACAAGCCTGTGCAACAACAACAACAATTCCATATTGATTTACCTCAATAAATTGAGGAAGCATATCCTTTCAAATCTGCTTTATTCATTTGTGTAACTAAAGCTGCTGTTTTTTCTTTTTAAGTCCAACAAGTATCTAATTTTTTTTTTTTTTTTTTTTTTTGAGATGGAGTCTCACTCTAGTCACCTAGGCTGAAGTGCAGTGCTGTGATCCTGGCTTACTGCAACCTTTACCTCCCAGGATCAAGCGATTTTCCTGCCCCAGCCTCTTGAGTAGCTGGGACTACAGACAGGCACCACCACTCTGGCTAATTTTTGTATTTTTAGTAGAGACTGGGTTTCGCCATGTTGGCCAGGCTGGTCTCGAACTCCTGACCTCAAGAAATCCGCCTGCCTTGGCCTCCCAAAGGCTGCGTGAGCCACTGCACCCAGCCTTATGGCTATTTTTACATTAAATCAAATGTAAAATTCAGTTCCTCTGTCGTACCACGTTTTAGGTGTTCAGTAGCCATATGTGGCCAGTAGCTGTTGTATGGGACAGTGCAGATAGAGAACCTTTCCATCATCGCAGAAAGCTCTATTGTACAACACTGATCTAAGGCAAAAGAAAAGTATGTTAATAAGATTAGCCGCATTATTTCAAAAACAATTTTTCTACTTTCAGATCAGCTGTCCTATAGTCATATCTTGTTATGAGAAAGATAAAATGAGGCCAGGCACAGTGGCTCACACCTGTAATCCCAGCACTTTGGGAGGCCAAGGCAGGCGGATCACGAGGTCAGGAGTTTGAGACCAGCCTGACCAACATCGTGAAACCCTGTCTCTGCTAAAATACAAAAATTAGCTGGGCATGGGTGGCGCGGGCCTGTAATCCCAGCTACTCGGGAAGCTGAGGCAAGAGAATTGCATGAACCCAGGAGGCGGAGGTTGTGCTGAGCTGAGATGGCGCCACTGCAGTGCACTCCAGCCTGGCTGGCAGAGCAAGACTGTCACAAAAAAACAACAAGATTGAAGTGTTCTTAAAATTCAACTCTAATCAATTTCTAAAATACTTAAGTGCCTTACTGTTGCCATTGGATTTACATAAAAATATCACAGCCCGGCATTCAAAGTCTTTCCCGTTGTGGCACCAGCCCACTTCTTCAGCACATTTCTCAGTGAACCCTTATCTCATAATCTGAGCTCTGGCCAAAGTATTCACTCTTCCCCAAATCCCACATTCATTTCATTTCATTCTCTGAATTGCCTTCTTCTTCTGCTCCTTTTTCTACTTTTGAAATCCTCTCCACTGTGTCTTCCTTCTTGAAACCCCTCCTGGCCCCTTCCGTTTCCACTCCTCTCCTTTCAAATTAAAGACGACCACTTTTCCGAGCTGGGTTAGTAGGAACAGATTAGATGCATTGGAAGCAACTTGAGATGTGCTTTCCTCCAATTCCTTTGTGTTAATGGTTGAAGAAACTGAGGCTTACAGCAGTTGAGGTAACTGAGCTGAGTGATTATTGATCTCCTAATGTTACTGTTCTCAGTCCCATATACCTCTGATCTCTTGGGATCTTTCCAGTTTTATAATTACCTGTAAAGTGGCTAGTAATGCTGACCAAAGGATTTAAGAATGTGGGAGACTTTTTTAAAATGAGATGAACGAACAATGTAAAAGTGTTCCTATTTCTCCACATCCTCTCCAGCATCTGTTGTCTCCAGATTTTTTAATGATCGCCATTCTAACTGGCGTGAGATGGTATCTCAATGTAGTTTTGATTTGCATTTCTCTAATGGCCAGTGATGATGAGCATTTTTTCATATGTTTGTTGGCCTCATGTATGTCTTCTTTTGTAAAGTGTCTGTTCATATCCTTCACCCACTTTTGAATGGGCTTGTTTTTTTCTTGTAAATCGGTTTTAGTTCTTTGTAAATTCTGGATATCAGCCTTTGTCAGATGGGTAGACTGCAAAAATTTTTTTCCCATTTTTTTTCCCATTCTGTTGGTTGCCAATTCACTCTAATGACTGTTTCTTTTGCTGTGCAGAAGCTGTGGAGTTTAATTAGGTCACATTTGTCTATTTTGGCTTTTGTTGCCAATGCTTTTGGTGTTTTGGTCATGAAGTCCTTGCCTACGCCTATGTCCTGAATGGTTTTGCCTAGATTTTCTTCTAGGGTTTTTATGGTGTTAGGTCTTATGTTTAAGTCTTTAATCTATCTGGAGTTAAACACTGTTTACACTGTTTAATCCATCTGGAGTTTACACTGTTGGTGGGAGTGTAAATTAGTCAACCATTGTGGAAGACAGTGTGGCGATTCCTCAAGGACCTAGAAATAGAAATTCCATTTGACCCAGCAATCCCATTACTGGGTATATATCCAAAGGATTATAAATCATTCTACTATAAGAAAACATGCACACGAATGTTCATTGCAGCACAGTTTACAATAGCAAGGACCTGGAACCAACCCAAATGCCCATCGATGATAGACTGGACAGGGAAAATGTGGCACATATACACCATGGAATATTATGCAGCCATCAAAAACGATGAGTTTGTGTCATTTGTAGGGACATGGATGAACCTGGAAACCATCGTTCTCAGCAAACTGACACAAGAACAGAAAATCAGACACCGCCTGTTCTCACTCATAGGTGGTGTTGAACAATGAGAACACATGGACACAGAGAGGGGAGCACTACACACTGGGGTCTGTTGGGGGGAAATAGGGGAGGGACAGTGGGGGGTGGAGAGTTGGGGAGAGATAGCATGGGGAGAAATGCCAGATTTAGGTGAAGGGGAGGAAGGCAGCAAATCACACTGCCATGTGTGCACGTATGCAACAGTCTTGCATGTTCTTCACATGTACCCCAAAACCTAAAATGCAATTTTAAATAAATAAATAAATAATAATTAAAAAAAGAAGAAAAGAAAAAGAAAAAAGAACAGAGATCCTTTGCACAGTTTTCCTAGTTTCCTCCAATGGTAATATTTTGCAGAATTATAGCATAATATGACAACAAGAATACTAACATCAATATAATTCACTAATCTTATTCAGATTTTCATTTTACTTGTCCTCATTTTGTGTGTATGTGTGTGTGTAAATTCTATAGAATTTTATCACCGGTGTAGGTTCATGTATTCTTTATCATAACAAAGATACTAAACAATTATAACAGCACAAGGAAAAAAGAGATGAACGAGGCAGAATATTTTTCCTGATCATATGCGGGTTTCTGATACAGTTTATTCAGTCCGTTCTGTTTAGAGTGCAGTTTCTAAATTTATTTTGTGCATATATCCTGAACATGCCTGAGGCAGATGTTCATCACAGGTGGCATCCAGAATGATCTGGAGTGACCAGTGAGCTGAGACCCTTCCCGTTTCCACATGCTTATCTGCCTGCAGGAGGCTAACTGTGAGAGCTAGGGAACCACCACCCCCTACCACCCAGCCCTATGGTGCAGGCAGCTACACCTGCAGCCAAAGTGAAGCCCCTCCTCACACAGCCTCTAGATCATTGAGAAAAGATTCCTCGGGAGTGAGATCATAGGCGTTCAACCCAGGGAGCGATGCCAAAAGAAGGAATACTTCCTAAGCCTTTTGTTTGTTTTAAATCTTCAGGGACCATGCAAATCTTCTCTGCATCGTTCCAATTTTAGTATATGTGCTGCCGAAGCAAGCACTTTCTACGTTTTTTGCCATAACACTAGGAGGGAAAATCAAAAGTCCTGGAGGGTCCTTACCCAGTCCTCCCTGTGTGCAATGAAAACAGTCTCATGTTTTTTATTTATTTGGTTTGCCCCCCACCCAACCACCCTTGAGAGGCGCAACCCAGTATGTTCTGCATTATTTTTTCTAACAAATGCTTGTGGAAGAGAAGAACTCTTGTCTGTGTACTGACCAGGCTCTGACAGCTGTTCCCACACAGCCGCTTGGTGAAGGCAGTGCGGGGCTCACTGCTAGGGCATGCTCTCCTGGGATGCTGTTCCTACACTGCTCCCTGCTTTGTCTCTTGGAGTAACAGTTTGTGGGATTTAAACATTGAACTTGCTTCCTTCTCTAGATGAAACGAAAAACTAAATCCTTGGTCCTGTGGCACAGAATCAGGTGATCCTGACAAAATAATAGAGGGAGGCTGAGTTAGAAGGAACAGCTTGCATGGAGGATGCATTCATCTAAGTTGCCTGTGTTCACCAGCTGTAAATTTTGAATTATAGGATTGGAAGAAGCATTTGGAGATCATGCAGCTTTCTCTCCTACCTGTAGGCCAGGATCCCTACAAAAATATGCTGTGCAGCTGAGCTGTGCCTCTGCTCTAAGCCAGTGGTTCTCAAACTGTGGCCCCTGGTCCAGCAACTTTGGTGTCACATAGAAACTTGTTAGAAATGCACATTCTCAGCCCCTACCCCAGCACTACTAAGTCTGAAACTCAGAGGGTGGAGCCCAGCCACCTGAAGAAGGCTTCCAGGGGATTCTGATGCACTCAGTAGTTTGAGAACTGCTGCTCTAAGGGAACCCCTAGCAGGGCCTGGGAGTGAAGGTTTCTAAGTGGTGGCAGGAAACTGACACAAAGGTTTATCCTATTCCAGTAATGGAGCTTCAGTAAATGCGTAGGGCGTCATGGCTACCAGTTCCTCTTCTTGGTATCAGCTCTGTATTGAGCCAGAGTGCCTGTGTCCCTGGCTCTCTTGATCATGTGCCAGAGAGATGACAAAGTTACTATCTGCCATACTGTGATGCTGGATAATGGCCCTGAATACTTCTCCTAGGCATGATCTGCAGTCAGCTTCTTGGTGAGCTCAGCCTAGATTCCTTCTGCAGGGATTGACTTCAGCATCTTTATCCCTGCCCTCCTACACCACCATAGAGTGCAGAGCAGCTCATGCTCCATGAGGCTTCTGACCTGGGCCACTTAGAACTTCTGCCCTTCCTCGTGACTCCACCTCCAGTGCCAAGTTAAATCATCCTACAGCATGTCTTTCAGAAAGCAGGAAAAATTAAGGAGTCTCCTAGCTGCATCTCAAAGCTCACGTGAAATCAGGGGCTCGTATGTGCATAATAGCAGAGTTTATTTCTTTTCATTCAGAAGTGAAACAGGAGGGAGTTTCAGTAGTCAGTAGCAAGACCCTGTTCTAGGGCTTTAGCACTCTCTTTGTTTATTGGGGTCTCTTAAGCACCATTTATATCTCAATACCTCATAGTCTTCCTTCACATTCAGTAGTTGTGCAAAATTCTGAGAATAAGCAGCATCTAGCTTTCTGGTAGATGTGACCATTGTAGAGCCTTTCTTCTGTACAGATTGATTTCATTTGGGTTTCATTTCAGACTGAAACCATTTGTATAATACTTTTAGGAGCCAGTTCTCCCTATAGCTTTGAGCCCAAAATGAATGTCCAGATGCGTCTCTTCAGATTGCTTTCTCTGTAGGCCTGCCAAAGGGAAAGAGCCCAGAATTCTTTGACATAGGAGAGAAGTTATTTAATATTAATGAAGGGAGCCAGATGTTCAGAACATTTCATATCACACAGAGTTAGACATGGTTCCTATCCTTGATAAACTCACTCAGACAAATTATGAGCACCAGGTCATAGAAACAGCAAATAGCCCATTCATTCTCTATTAAGTGACCTGGTAGAATGTGCTTTTTTTTTATTAAAGGTGTCCAGTTCCTCTGTAGTCCTCAACTAACCCAAGGGGCAGGAGAGGAAGATTGGTAGTTTAAGGAGGAGATTTGGATTAATCTGACTGTAGAATTCATTTCCTTCAGGGGTCAACTCCACCAGCAGTGCTGTGAAAAGTGGACCCTGGTTAATGATGAGACCCAAGCCAAGATGGCCCGGATGGCTGCTGCAGCTGCGTGGGGTTTAGGTAAAGCTTCCCTCACAGGCACCCCTATCAAGGATGGGGTGAGTGAGGCTAGGGGCTCACATCAGAAGAGTAAGGTGCTGGCTCTAGGTGGAGATGCCAGGTCTATATGGAAGTATAAAAATGGTCTGTGTCCACCTACTTCTACACCTTCCATCTGTCCTTTCTACTTGATGATTTTTATTAACTTGTTAGACATGGGGAAAATCGGATCTTTGTGGGGAGGCCAAGGAAAACAGTGCACAAAATCAAAATTGAGATTTAGTGGGTGAGAAATACACAGTTAGCACACTCACACGGAACACGGATGCCAGATGCCTTTCCCCATACACCAAGCCATTCTGAGCAGACACCAGTCAAGTAGTCCATTTCCAACACTATCTACTTGGAAATAGCATCAGATCCCACAGTTAAGGGTTCATCCCAAAATACCGCCCTACTTCAGATGCCAATCACAAGTCCCAGGTTGTGACTTGTGTTTCTCACTGACCAGCTGTAAATCAGGGTTCCCATAACCCTCCTCCTCAAGTTTGATGATTTGCTGGGAAAGCTCACAGAACAAAAGGCAACACTTTACTTACATTCACTGGTTTATTTTAAAGGGTGTTATAAAAGATACAGATGAATAGGTACAATGAGGGAAGGCCTAGAAGGGTCTGGAGTGTAGGAGCACCTGTGCTTTGGTACTGGGGTTTACCATCACCCTCCCAGCACCTTCATCAACCTGGGAGCTCATTGTTCAAGAGTTTTTATAGCCTTTAGTGTTCAACCTTTTCACCTTTCCTGGATGTCAGTGGATGGGGCTGAAAGTTCAAACCCAGTAATTACTTGGTCTTTCTGGTAACCAGCCCCATCCTGGAAGGGGAGAAGGAGGGAGAGACAACGCTAAGCAAAGTTTAAGTCACATGCTACTCAAAGAACCAATCTCTTTGCCAATAAGCATGGGTATTCTGCAAGGTTAATGGGGTCATATGTCCACCCATTCAGCAGGGTACTAGGGTATGCTTCTATCTGTCTCCATTTATACTTTTAGTTGAAAGCAGAAACAAGAGACAAGGAGGCTGGGTGTGGTGACTCACACCTGTAATCCCACCACTTTGTGAGGCTTGGGCAGGAGGATCACTTGAGCCCAGGAGTCTAAGATCAGCCTGGGCAATAATATAGTGACACTCCATCGCTACCAATTTTATTTATATACATATATATATATATATATATATACACACATATATATATATATACACACACATATATATATATATATAATTTTCTTTTTTAAAGAGAGATGAGGAGAGCTCTCTTTAGGTTCCTGCATCCAACTATACTTGAAATCATCTCTATAATTGGCCTTCTCAATAAATAAATTTTTTCTTAAACTGTTCTACCTTATCAGCATAATCAGTAGGAATTCATTATGAATAACAAAGAACAGTCCTATCACTCAGGAAGTTCAAAGCGTTTTCGATAGCTCTGTGCCAGGCACTAGGGACAAAGACCAAATATATTTCTTCTCATACCACAGTAGGATTTGGCTTTGGTTGCCTTAAGCAAGCTACTGATTTGTTTTCCTCTCCTATAAATTGAAATCTAGAGATAGGCATTTCCAGACTGGTATTTTGGCTCTATTGTCATTAGCCTTTTTCCAGATTTCTGCTTTGCATGCACAGCCCGTGTCTCCATTTTAAAGTTCACCTCATGGTCCAGCATGGTTGCTGGAGCTCCCCACATCATATTTTTGTCCCAAGCAGGAGTAAAGGGAGAAGATAGTTGTCTATCTCCTTTCATGAATATTTCTTATATTTTAGAACTTTCCCAATATATAAACAGTGAAGATAATAGTATAATGAACCCCCATCTGCCCTTCACCTTCTCCAGCAGTTGTAAACATTTTCACCGTTTTATTGTCTCTGTTCTCCTCTTTGCTGTCCGATTCTTGCCCACCTCACTTCTACTCCCCAAGTATTTTAAAGCAGAGATTTCCTTTCAATCCCTGCAGCATGTCAGTTTCTGACACTGGGCTCCTGCTAAGAGGCTTATCAATATCTGTTGTCCCTGGTGAAAAGCTTCACCTGTGGAGCCTGGAGGAAAGTTACATAACCTTCTACCTCCACCTCCATTCTCTTCCTCTGTCCCTCTTGAGTCACGGAGCTTATATCCTTTCCTTTCATGAGCTCTGGGTTAGATCCGGAACACTTTTCAAAAACAAATTGCTTCCTGAGGAGTCATCGTTAGCTATTTGCTTGTGCCCAGAGGCACAGAGAATGGATGAGCCGATGGTCTGGAGTGAGAGGCAGGAAAATGTCTTATAAAATTGGCAGCCCTGCAGTTTGCAGCTAATGAAGCTGATATCTTTTCTGCAGATGGACTTGGAAATCCTGGCATTTGATACATGCTCACCCCACCAGGAGAAGTGAATACTTCTTCCCGGATGCAGCCTTTTCCCCAGTCTAACATGACACAGAGAGCACTGTGCTGTGACCTACCCCATCTTTTTGTTATAATGGAGTCTCTTAAAATATTTATCTCCTCCCTCCTGAGGCAAAGATATTGCCAGAATGAAATGGGCAAGCTATTTGTCTAATCCTGTCCCCTATCATCTGTGCAATGGCTGTTTTCAATTGTCTAGAGGAAAATGTAATTTCCCAACATACCATTGAACTGTGAGTTGCCTCACTAGTAGCAGAGAAAGCAATTTTTTCTCACCTGGAGAAGTTCTCTAGGATAATGAGGTGCTACATTCAGCTCACTTGATGTGCAGACTTCACACTCATTCACTTTCCCTCATCTGTCAAGATGCTCCCTGGGCAGACGTGGAGGCCTGTGTTTGGAAGACAGATGTGGCTTTTTTTGTTAAGTCAACCCGCATAGTGTACATTGGGGCTCTGCAAGATTTTGGTACATGAGGCTTAAGTTCATTTGTCTTGTTTATATCCCAAGCTAAAGGAAAATAACAATGGCAAGACCTATTTGAGATGCTGCCTTTAGCCCAGCCAGCCACCCCTCTTGATGCTTTCTGTCTGTCTGTGTGTAATAGGTCAGTGGGACAGCATGGAAGAATACACCTGTATGATCCCTCGCGACACCCATGATGGGGCATTCTATAGAGCTGTGCTGGCACTGCATCAAGACCTCTTCTCCTTGGCACAACAGGTAAAAACCTACATGTACCCAGATCTCCCAGCAAGGAAAAGACTGTAGTGCTTGTAAGCACACAGTGCTTAGGCTATTGTATATAGGCTCAGTATATAGGCTATTGTACTTCAGGTCTTGTGTTTACTTGGCTCTCTGAGTGCATTTGAATGGTTTTGATGCATTGCATTCATTAAGGAGACTGCCAGCAGGTCAGCTGGGGCTACTTTTTGTCCCGAATGGGAGGAATGTGTTCTGGAAGCTACCATTTCAGTTGCTTCTGGAGTTAGCTTGTTGCATCCCTTGTTGTAGAGAGAAGCTGTATTTCACCAAAAGCTAGGATTCAGAGAGCCAGCAGTCTCACTGTGCAGCAGAAATCAGTCACAAGGGTCTTCTGTCCATGCAGGCATGTCACACATTGATTACCTTCTGAGGAAGCTAGTACTTATTTGCAAATAGTGTGCTGACTTGCAGAATGAGATAATGAAGTAATCCCATCCACCCCGTTAGACACAGAGTTAGATGAGGTGCCTGGGTAAATGATCTGAGGCATTGGGACACTATAATTAACCTTAAACATTCAAAAAAGCGAAAAGCTCTGCATGAGAGGTTTTTAATTCATGGCACAGAAAAAACTCAAACTGCAGTCCTGTGGCATCCCACAGGCTCTGATATATGTGATGAAAACCAAGATCCTGGTTGTCTCTGTCAGAGACACAAGAGCTCCCCTTCACATGGACAGGACTGGGCATCTCTGCCAATTTCAGAGGCATTCCCTCATAGGGACAGAGGGTACTTAGAAGCCAGAGCTACCACCTGGAGCCATTGAAGTGTGTGCAGAATCAATTTCCACAAACATGCCCAGCAAGGAAAAGTTAAAAGAAGATAGATCCCCAGGCCAGATGTAGTGGCTCATGCCTGTAATCCTAGCATGTTGGAAGGGCAAGGTGGACGGATTACTTGAGGCCAGGAGTTTGAGACCAGCCTGGCCAACATGGTGAAACCCTGTCTCTACTAAAAATACAAAATTAGCCAGGCATGGTGGTGGGCACCTGTAATCCCAGCATCCCAGCTCCTCAGGAGGCTGAGGCAGGAGAATCACTTGAACTGGGGAGGTGGAGACTGCAGTGAGCCAAGATCGTGCCACTGCACTCCAGCCTGGGTGACAGAGTGAAACCGTGTCTCCAAAAAAAAGAACCAAAAAGAAGGTAGATTCCCAGTTATGTCCCCTTGAGATACAAGAACCCATGATTCAGTTTTACAGCCCACATTCCCATGCCCCCTAAGATTGTGTGTGTTACCTTAGATAGATGTTAAAGTTTTGGATGCCATACATTTCTGTCTTTGATGAGAAATTGGATAATTACTCTTCTGAAGCCATTCAGTTCTGGGAAAATGGCCTTTTTCAGTGAATTTCTCTCTGCATCCCTGGAATTTAAGTGAGACAGATAACTTCTGCAGCTAGTTGGGATGCCCTGAAATAACCCTAAGCTCCCAAGTCCAGAGCTCAGTCCCAGGGGTTCTTTGTTTCTCTTCTAGTGCATTGACAAGGCCAGGGACCTGCTGGATACTGAATTAACTGCGATGGCAGGAGAGAGTTACAGTCGGGCATATGGGGTAAGTGTCAACTATTCTGCACATTGTCATTTTTGAGGCTTATTTTCATGCTTTTTTCAGAACGGGCTATTGAGAACTCACAGGCTGCTGGAAACATGCCTGTTTTCTCTGATCGGCAGATACCCTGACACCAGAAGGAATGATTTAAATTAATCCTGTCTTTTGGATTGTTCATGCAGTAATTAGCTTGGAATGTGATTTGCTTCCATCAGGCCATGGTTTCTTGCCACATGCTGTCCGAGCTGGAGGAGGTTATCCAGTACAAACTTGTCCCCGAGCGACGAGAGATCATCCGCCAGATCTGGTGGGAGAGACTGCAGGTGAGCTTGGTAGAAAGCCTCAGTTCACCTGCCTACCCCTGCCCCTACCAGGACCTGGTCGAGTGCCCCCTCCACCCCGGCTCTTACTCAACTTGCTTTTCCTGCCTCCTCCACCAGTGTGATGCTTGGCTTGCATACAAAGCAGAATACTCAAAGGCTCCTCACCTAAGCTTAAACTGTGAGAGAATGACCGATTTTCCAGTCTCTTCTTACTCCCTTCTTTAGGAATTAAAAAAAAAAAAAAAAAAGTTGTTGTTTTTTGTTTTTGTTTTTCTTTTTTTAGACGGAGTTTCACTCTCGTTACCCAGGCTGGAGTGCAATGGCGCGATCTCAGCTCACCGCAACCTCCGCCTCCCGGGTTCAGGCAATTCTCCTGCCTCAGCTTCCTGAGCAGCTGAGATTACAGGCACGCGCCACCATGCCCAGCTAATTTTTTGTATTTTTAGTAGAGACGGGGTTTCACCATGTTGACCAGGGTGGTCTCGATCTCTTGACCTCGTGATCCACCCGCCTCGGCCTCCCAAAGTGCTGGGATTACAGGCGTGAGCCACCGCGCCCGGCAAAAAAAAAGTTTTCACTAAGTGTCACCTGTGACCAGTTTGGAACCATAACCTCAAAATCAGTGGTTCTCAACCTTAGTGGCACAGTAGAATCACCTGGAAAGCTTTTAAAATCCTGATGCCCCAGCTATTCCCTAGGCCAGTTTAATTTCTGTGGAGATACCCAGGATCAGTATCTTTGCAGCTTCCCCCAGATGATTCCACAAGCCACAGCTAAGAATCACTGCTCTGACTGCACTTGCAGGCCACCTGCAGCCAGCTTTTTAAATGGGGTTGCCTTCGGTTCTCGTTGGCCAACTCCTGCCGTTTATAGTTCCTTAGGTCAGAGTCATCGTATTGCCTCTATTGAGACTTTTTTTCCACTGCAGTTTCCCCTTGTAGAGAAGCTTTCCCAAGTCCTCCATCAGTTTTTTCATTGTCACATTCTGATCATTTTGGCCTGAGGAACTGTCACTCCAGGTCTTGGAGTCAGCCAGCAGTCCTAAGTATTCCGGAAAAGATAACCAGTTCTCCCATTCCTTGAGTGGGTAGGATAGGAAGTTCATCAGCAAAATAAAAAAGAGAGAAACCCTTTACCACTCCAGAAACCATTTGTCTCCCTACCTAACATAATCCATCCCCCTAATTATGAGTCATTTCCTCTCAACTAGATCCCCACCTGATTCCAAATTCTCACTTCAGGCTAATCGAAGTTTGTGCTTCCAGGCTTCTCAGAAGGCTGTGACAAAACCTTTTGACTCCAAGCTACATTCCTGCCTAGGAAGCTTAGGGCACATTCCCCTGGACAGGAAAGGGCAATGGGCAAAGAAACGTCCATGAATATAGTCATTTATGGCTCTGAAATGAGCACATACAGTTCTTTTACATGTTTTATTAGTAATTTTGAAATGCCCAGTGAGTGTTTTGATGGAAAACTGTCTCCTGGGCACCAGAAAGAATTCCACAAATCAGGCATTTCCCACTTGGTTTGTACACACCCCAGTTTTTTGAAATGCCTGTAATAAAGAGTTTCTACATCAGAGATCTGATGAATCTTCTGACAGTCTGACAAGCCGGACTTGATCCAATTGTAGACTTGGAGGGGAGGGGATGCATGGAATGAATCCTGGGAGGAGAGATGCTTGTCTGACTTGACTGGGTCCAGGACACTGTCATCGCCTTAAGCCTTCGTGACTTTCCTGTCTTGAGGCAGAAAGATGCGTTTTGGCTTACAGGAGGCCAAATTATTTCAGCATCTGGGAGAACCTAACTATTGGTGAGAAGTAACAAAAAACAATCACTCAGTGTACTTTTTTTCTGTTATTTCAACTTTCCAAATCATTGTTGTCACACTTCATGGGATGGAAAAATATGGTCCAAGGCCTGAAAATAAAACATTACATTTATAGTGGAAATTTGGCTCTTGTAGGTGGCTGGCTGTCAAATGAACTGCTGGGGCTAGAAAACTGCCATTTTGTAGTGAAATCATTTAAATTAAAATCCTCAACCAGTATCTCCCACAGGGCAGTTAGAGAAGTCAGCCTTATTGGCACTAGGTCTCCTCTTGCCTTGGGTTCTCCAGTCAGGCTCAGACTGCATCTTACTATAGTTAAAAGCCTGAGATCATTGTTGCTAGACTTTTATCTCAATGGAGGTCAGCTCCATGGGTTCATGGAATTTACCATGAAGCAGTAGATCTCAGGAACTGGCCTTCTAAGTCTGACTTTTTTTTTTTTTTTTTTTTTTGAGACAGAGTTTCACTCTTGTTACCCAGGCTGGAGTGCAATGGCGCGATCTCGGCTCACTGCAACCTCCGCCTCCTGGGTTCAGGCAATTCTCCTGCCTCAGCCTCCTGAGTAGCTGGGATTACAGGCACGCGCCACCATGCCCAGCTGATTTTTTTTTTGTAGTTTTTTAGTAGAGACGGGGTTTCACCATGTTGACCAGGATGGTCTCGATCTCTTGACCTCGTGATCCCCCCGCCTCGGCCTCCCAAAGTGCTGGGATTATAGGCGTGAGCCACCACACCCGACCTAAGTCTGACTTCTTATCAACAAGGATGAAAAAGGAATTCACTTAGCTGAGGACAGTGGCTCACGCCTGTAATCCCAGCACTTTGGGAGGCTGAGGCAGGTGGATCACTTGAGGTCGGGAGTTCAAGACTAGCCTGGCCAACATAGAGAAACCCCATCTCTGCTTAAAAAAAAAAAAAAAAAAGTACAAAAAGTAGCCAGGTGTGGTGGTGTGCACCTGTAATCCCAGCTACTTGAGAGGCTGAGTCAGGAGAATCACTTGAACCTGTGAGGCAGAGGTTGCAGTGAGCCAAGATTGCACCACTGTACTCCAGCCTGGGGAACAGAGTGAGACTCCATCTCAGAAAAAAAAAAAAGGAGTTCACTTGACTCTCTGCAGTTGTTAGATATAAAATTAGCTTAAGCCCCTTAGATAATTAATTTGCTTTTTTTTAAATTATAAATAATTTGTGACCAGGCACAGTGGCTCATGCCTGTAATCCCAGGACTTTGTGAGGCCAAGGTGGGTGGATCGCTTGAGGTCAGGAATTCAAGACCAGGCTGGCCAACATGGCAAAACTCCATCTCTACTAAAAATAGAAAAATTAGCCAGGCATCGTGGCATACACCTGTAGTCCCAGCTACTCAGGAGGCTGAGGCAGGAGAATCCCTTGAACCTGGGAGGCAGAGGTTGCAGTGAGCCAAGATTGCGCCACTGCCCTCCAACCTGAATGACAAGAGCAATCTCATCTATAATCCCAACACATTGGGAGACTGAGGCAGGCAGATAGCTTAAGCCCAGGAGTTTGAGACCAGCCTTGGCAACATGGTGAAACCCGTCTCTACAAAAAAAATACATAAATTAGCCAGGGATGGTGGTATGCACCTGTAGTCCCAGCCACTCAGGAGGTTGAGGCAGTAGGATCACTTGAACTGGGAGGTTGAGGCTGCCATGAGCCATGATTGTGCCACTGTACTCCAGCTGGGGCAACAGAGTGAGACCCTGTCAAAAAAAAAAAAAAGAATTTATAAGTGTAACTGAATGAGGCACTTCCTCTTCTGTGTTACTTTTTGATCTGAGACAAGTAGAAATGAAGAAAGAATCTAAGATGCCAACATACAAGGTATCTCAACAGTCCTTTTTTTTTTTTTTTTTTTTTCCAGAAGTCTTAATGCAGGTTCAGGCTTTAATAACTTCAGAAATATAAATGCTACTAACTTAAAAACAATGTCACTTGAAATTCTCCCCCACCACCCAGCACATACTGGAGTGTAGTAACACGATCTCGGCTCCCTGCAACCTCTGCCTCCCGGCTTCAAGCAGTGCTCCTGCCTCAGCCTCCCTGTTGCTGGGATTGCAGGTGCCTGCCACCACACCTGGCTATTTTTTGTGCTTTTAGTAGAGTCGGGGTTTCACCATGTTGGCTAGGCTGGTCTTGAACTCCTGACCCTGTGATCCACCCACCTCAGCCTCCCAAAGTGCTGGGATTACAGGCGTGAGCCACCATAACTGGCTGAAAATTATTTAAACTTCTTTAGGTTTAATTCAGTTTTGAGCTTTGAATGATATATCTTAAATTTAATTTCTTTGTCAGTGATAGTCATCTTCAACCAGAAAGACTGAAGCAAAATTTTAATGTTAAAGATGCATTATGCATTATTCATCATTCACAAAAGAAATAGAAATCAATCATTTAATTTATTTGATCCTCACTGTATCCCTCTGAAGTTGGTACTATTTTTATTTCACTCTACAGATCTGTCAGAGGTTAAGTGATTTGCCCAAAGTCACATAGATAGCAAGTGACAGTCAGGATTCAAGCTCCAAACCCCATGCTACACCCAGCCCATGCCTGGCTAATTTTTACATTTCAAACTGCTGAGTCTCTCAAACTACTGAGAAGTCTCTAAGGGCAAAGGTCCCCATACCCATGAGGCACAGCAGGAGGTGAGGGATGGGCAAGCTCCACCTCCTGTCAGATCAGCAGCCACATTAGATTCTCATAGAAGCGTGAACCCTTATTATGAACTGCACATACAAGGGATCTAGGTTGCATGCTCCTTATGAGAATCTAATGCCTGATGATCTGAGGCAGAACAGTTTCATCCAAAAACCATCCCCCCCACCCAAGTTGTGGAATAATTGTCTTCCACAAAACTAGTCCCTGGTACCACAAAGGTTGGGGACCACTGCCTAAGGATATTTCACTCACAGTGCCCTTAACCTGAGAAAGTTGAGATTCTATCAGCAAATCTTTGTGTTTCACTGTGGATTTGGCTGTGGCTTGCAGGGAACTTAAAATGTATCAGAAGGCCAAGCACCGTGGCTCATGCCTGTAATCGCAGAACTTTGGGAGTCTAGGTGGGTGGATCACTTAAGGTCAGGAGTTCGAGACCAGCCTTGCCAACATGGTGAAACATCATCTCTATTAAAAATACAAAAAAAGCCCAGGCGTGGTGGCTCATGCGTATAATCCCAGCACTCTGCAAGGCTGAGACGGGATGACAAGGTTAGGAGTTCAAGACCAGCCTGGCCAAGATGTTGAAACCCCAACTCTACTAAAAATACAAAAATTAGCTTGGCGTGGGCTGGGCATAGTGGCTCATGCCTGTAATCCCAGCACTTTGGGAGCCCAAGGCAGGCAGATCACAAGGTCAAGAGATCAAGACCATCCTGGCTAACATGGTGAAACCCCATCTCTACTAAATATACAAAAATTAGCTGGGTGTGGTGGCGCGTGCCTGTAATCCCAGCTACTCAGGAGGCTGAGGCAGAACCACTCGAACCCAGGAGGCGGAAGTTGCAGTGAGCTGAGCTTGCACTATTGCACTCTATCCTAGGCTGGCTCACGACTGTAATCCCAGCACTTTGGGAGGCCGAGGCAGGTAGATCACAAGGTCAGGAGTTCAAGACAGTCTGGCCAAGATGGTGAAACCCCCGTCTCTACTAAAAATATAAAAAAAATTAGCCAGGTGTAGTGGCAGGCACCTGTAATCCCAGCTACTTGGGAGGCTGAGGTAGAGAATTGCTTAAACCTGGGAGACAGAGGTTGCAGTGAGCCAAGATTGCACCACTGCCCTCCAGTCTGGGTGACAGAGCAAGAATCCAACTCAAAAAAATTAGCTGGGTGTGATGGTGGGCACCTGTAATCCCAGCTACTGGGGAGGGTAAGGCAGGAGAACCACTTGAACTCAGGGGGCGGAAGTTGCAGTGAGCAGAGATCGTGCCATTGCACTCCAGCCTGGGCAATAGAGCAAGACTCTGCCTCAGAAACAAAAAATGTATCAGAAGACATATCTAATCTTCCTTTCCAAATGTTCCAGGGCTGCCAGCGTATCGTAGAGGACTGGCAGAAAATCCTTATGGTGCGGTCCCTTGTGGTCAGCCCTCATGAGGACATGAGAACCTGGCTCAAGTATGCAAGCCTGTGCGGCAAGAGTGGCAGGCTGGTGAGTGACACCCTACCCACCCACGTGGACAGGTAGTGGGCCCATGGTGCCCCTGGGCTGAACAGTTCTGTCTGTAACCCACTGTCTCTTGTTTTTAAGGCTCTTGCTCATAAAACCTTAGTGTTGCTCCTGGGAGTTGATCCATCTCGGCAACTTGACCATCCTCTGCCCACAGTTCACCCTCAAGTGACCTATGCCTACATGAAAAACATGTGGAAGAGTGCTCGCAAGGTCTGTATCGGATGCTTCCAGAACAGACCACCTTCTCCAGAATGCCCGCCTAATCTGCTTCCCTCTGCCTCCTGAAGGCCAGAAAAGAAACAGGTTTAAACAACCTACTAAAAATGTCAGGGAGTCTCTTCCTGTTATGAAGCCATTTGGCCTGATTTCATAAAGTGAATCATAGTTGAAGAGATGCATGTATACAATAGATCAAACCAATGAATGTGATCACAGTTAAATGTATTTGTATCTAGAAAGTGCTGGGACGTAGGAAAGGCACACTTTCTACCCCTAAGAGAAGATGGGCTGTTTGGTACAAAAAAGAGCAGATTTGTGAATATGTAGACTAGAACTTTCACAAGACCAATTTGGGTTTTTCAGACTTCTGGTCTCCTCTCCTGTCATCAGTTTGGATTCAGAAGGAATAAAATGCAGGGTGTAATACTGAAACCAGGAGTGAAAATTATCTTGAAGCCAATGTAGAATTCCTCTGATTTTATTTACAGACAAGCCCTTGGGAAATAGATGTGGCTCCTGGTTTTGGTTTTTTTTTTTTTTTTTTTTTTTGCTTTAAGCAATCTCCCTGGATGATGGTAAGGATTAATAAACAGTAGGCCCTGGAGGCAAAGTCATCACCTGCTTCGGCTCCCCCTTCATCCTTCTTGCCAAAAGGAAGAGGGTGTCCCACTGGCCTTCTCTCCCCATTGTGACCCCCACAGTGTGGTACCTAAGATGAAAGAGGAATGAAATGTAGCCACTGGAGCCTCTGGTGTGGGAAGACCTCATAAAATAGAAGTTGTGTTTCTGCTGAGGGCATACTTGTGAGATCTGGGGACTGAGGCTAGAAATTGACTAATTTTATAGATGAGTTATTCAGGGTGGCTATGAATACCACCCAGAGTGGCATCAGCCAGCCTGTACCCAGGCAGCTGGTCTTTGGGATTTACTGCAGTACTAATGACCTAAGTTACTAATGACCTAAGTTTCCTTCTTCAAATGTGCACCTTGGAGATTTTGTTTTTGTTGTTTTGTTTTATTTTTCAGTCTCTGTGAGCCTCCTAGGTCAGAGCATTTCTGATTCAAAGCCTGACCCCCTCCAGGCAAATGAGAAAAACAGAAGGTGCTGGATATGAATATAGTCTGGTTTCCTTCCTATGTATAGCCTCCAAGTCTTTGAATGTCTTGCCGAAGGCAGGCCGAAGAAGCCTTTTGGGTAATATCTAAAGCAAGGAGTGGCTTCTTTCAACATATGACCCCAGCCCATCTTTTCCATGGAATGGTCTTAGTAGCCCAAATTCTGGTGGAATTAAAAATTAGGAACCTATTTAAAGTAAAGTGCTTGGACTTCAAGCCCAGAACTAGAGATGTCATGTCTTCATAGTTAAGGAGCTACCCAAAGAAAACTGACTACTTAATAATTGTACTGCTCAACAGGACACTCACTGAGCCTTACTTTCCTCCACTGTAAACAGGGATCATGCTCTGCCTTGCCTGAGGCAAACGAAAGTATTTGTGGGAAAAGCAGACGCTGTTATCCTGGAAGGCATCAGCCTATGGGTATATGTGTCATGTTTTCCTAGACAAGACACTTCACAGAGTCCAGAGACAGGCTGGTCCTTCCGTAAAATTTCACTGAGCCAAGGCCATTGTTCTCACCCACAAACCACCCATGTAGTCTAGAACCAGAATATTGTGCCTAACTAAAATCCTGCAGGCCTGTGAGAAGCCCCTTCTTCCAAGTGACAGGTCCTTTACTTGTAAGAGGGAAACAATCACTTTCCCCCTTTTCATTTCCTGAGAATGCAGAAAACAAATTTTAAATAGAAAATTTTCAATTCCTTGAAAATAAATTGCCTTGTACTATACGGTAGAAAGATGCTGGATTCCCTTATGCTGGATAAGTGAAATACTGGTCTTCAAATCCAAACTTAATACCCAGCCTCCCCAGCTTTGGCGGTTTATTTTTTGTTCAGCTCCTTGTTAAGTCCACCAAAGAGTTTAAACCCAGTGTCTGGATTGTCAATGACAGGTAGCTTATGGGCTCTGAAAACCACCTAGCATCAGAGTTCCTAGTTTAGCTCCTACCTGCATGACATGATGATCACACTGAGTTATCAATCACCTTTTTAGTGATAGAGTTTTTTTTACTACTGCCTCCCAATTCTTTCTTTTTTTTTTTTTTAAGTCAGATTTAAGCCAGGCACGGTGGCTCACACCTGTAATCCCAGCACTTTGGAAGGCCAAGGTGGGTGGATCACCTGAGGTCAGGAGTTTGAGACAAGCCTGGCCAACATGGTAAAACCCCATCTCTACCAAAAATACAAAAATTGCCAGGCATGGTGACAGCTGCGTATAATCCCAGCCACTTGGAAGTCTGAGGAAGGAGAATCGCTTGAACCTGGGAGGCGAAGGTTGCAGTGAGCCAGGATCATGCCACTGCACTCCAGCCTGGGTGACGAGAGTGAAACTCAGTTTCAAAAAAAAAAATCAGATTTAAGACTGGTCAATGTAGTTAGTTCTCCTAGAAGAAAAACTAAAGGGTGGTTCATGCGTCTAATCCCAGCACTTTGGGAGACCATGGTGGGAGGACTGCTTGACCAGGAATTTGAGACCATCCTGGGCAACATAGCAAGACCTCATCTCTACGAAAAATTAAAATTAACTGGGCGTGGTGGTGTGTGCCTGTAGTCCCAGCTACTGGGAGGCTGAGGCAGGAGGATCACTTGAGCACAAGTGTTCAAGTCTGCAGTGAACTATAATTGCACAACTGCACTCCAGCCTGGGTAACAGAGTGAAACCCTGTCTCTAAAGAAATAAAAATTTCAATTAAAAAAAAATAATAAAAGTTAAAGGAAGATTTATCACTTCCCAAGTGTGGGATGCTAATGTAGTTCATTTTTCAAAGCTGGTAATGAGTAATGGAACTCTGCAAAGGCAGATGTCTGAGGGAAACAGGTGTCTTAAGTGTTGGAACAGCTGTGTGCCTGCCCTGTCCTCATGCATGGATTAGCTGCCTGATCAGTTGTTTGTCATGTCATTCTGGCTCTGAGTTAAACCCAATCTCTTCATAGCAATTAATTCCTTATATTGAAAAGTATCTGAGGTTGGTTCTGGCCCCCAAGCCAGAGAGTTTCATTTTCCTTCAAGGCCATCATCACTGACATGGTGGGTGTTTGTTTGTTTGTTTTTTGAGATACAGTTTCTCTCTTGTCGCTCAAGCTGGAGTGTAATGGCATGATCTTGGCTCACTGCAACCTCCACCTCCCAGGTTCAAGCGATTCTTCTTCCTCAGCCTCCTGAGTAGTTAGGATTACAGATGGCTGCCACCATGCCCAGCAATTTTTGTATTTTTGGTAGAGATGGGGTTTCACCATGTTGGCCAGGCTGATCTCGAACTCCTGACCTCAGGTGTTCCACCCACCTTGGCCTCCCAAAGTGCTTGGATTACAGGAGTGACCCACAGTGCCTGGCATTTTTTTTTTTTTTTGAGACAGTTTCATTCTGTCACCCAGGTTGGAGTGCAGTGGCATGATCTTGGCTCACTGCAACTTCTGCCTCCTAGGTTCAAGCTATTCTGCCTCAGCCTCCCGAATAGCTGAGATTACAGGTGCTTGCCACAGTGCTCAGCTAATTTTTATATTTTTAATAGAGACAGGTTTCGCCATGTTGGCTGGGCTGGTCTTGAACTCCTGACTTCAGGTGATCCACCTGCCTCGGCCTCCCAAAGTGCTGGGATTACAGGTGTAAGCCACCGCGCCCTGCTGACAGGTTTCTAGTTAAAACAGACAAAAATACCTCTTATATGATTTACCATAAGGAAAACTGTTGTTTACCTAAAGACTTAATTTTGTCCTTCTTCTGCAGCACAGAACACAGTGCCTCTTTTTCACATTCTCTCATGTAATGTTTCCTTTCCCTGTGTTAGCACATTTCAATTTTGCCATTTTTCCATTTGAGCTTTTGATATTTGTACCTTCTTTCTATGTCCATCCTTGGAGCCCTTTATTATTATTTTTGTCTCTGTGTGAGTTTTTCCCCCCCTATAAAAACCAGAAAAGATTTTTCTGTTTAAAAATGGTATGGACCCTATTTATCAAGATGCTGATTGGACTGGATGTTGCAGGCTTGTATAGTACTCCCAGATCTGTGATTCTGTCTCTTCTCTTTCCCAGTTTAGCTGTCTGTTCCTGACTCACATGCCCTCTGCTCACTTTGTATACAAGCTTACAGTGTGCATAGATCTAGCTGCTTTAGGGTGCTCTGGAGATTTTGCCCCTAAGCCACTCAATTCAATCAGATGTCTGCTGAGCTGGTATCTTCTTCCTATTCCACATGAATACATGAAGGGTCTTCACCCCAACTCTGTGTTCTTACTTGGGTGCTATCTGATTTTTAAATCTATACTTTTTGCACTGCTGGAGTGTCCAAGGTACCCTGGTGTTGTAAACAAATAACAAAGTTTTATTAGCCTGAAACAATTCCCATAAGCCTAACATCCCCCAGGGTAACATATCGATAGTGAAGTAAGCAGTTGTTTCAGATTACTTCATAGGAACTGTTATTTGGGGTAGCCAGGCATGAAACTTTGCCAGGGCTTATAAAACTGGTAATTATAGTTGGCAAAGGAGAGCCAAGACTTGAGTTGAATAAGTCATGAACCTTTTCGAAAAGTCCAGCCCTCTCCCAGCATCACGCTGGTCCTCTGTCTGTGGGGTCGTCATCCTGTCCACTAGGGTGTTCTGTTTGGAGAAGGGTTGACTCATGTGCCCTATCAGATGAATGGCGGCTCCTTTCCTATGAAGTTGGGCTGCATGCCAAGTGCCTCTGTGCTTTTGTCCTGTTACAGATTGATGCCTTCCAGCACATGCAGCATTTTGTCCAGACCATGCAGCAACAGGCCCAGCATGCCATCGCTACCGAGGACCAGCAGCATAAGCAGGAACTGCACAAGCTCATGGCCCGGTGAGGTCCCTACTGACCTGGGGCAAGTCACATTCCAGCCCTGTCGTCCTAGCAGCTTCTGCAGCAAGGAGGAGTTCAAGGCTTCTTGGGTGGCTGATTGCTGACATCTCTCATTCCTTTCCCAGTAGGGATCCCAGGCACCCACCAAATCGTGCTGCTCCAAAGTCTCTGCGACTTGCTTTCCTAGGTTCAGCGGCCCAAGAGCACCCTTGTGCTGTTCTCCTGGCGTCTGGCTATAGAGTTAGAGTCCTTGTTTTCAAATGTCAGATATGCTGCCCCCCCTTTTTTTTTTTTTTCATTTTATTTTATTTTTTTTATTTTTTGAGACGGAGTTTCGCTCTTGTTACCCAGGCTGGAGTGCAATGGCGCGATCTCAGCTCACCGCAACCTCCGCCTCCCGGGTTCAGGCAATTCTCCTGCCTCAGCCTCCTGAGTCGCTGGGATTACAGGCACGCGCCACCATGCCCAGCTAATTTTTTGTATTTTTAGTATAGACGGGGTTTCACCATGTTGACCAGGATGGTCTCGATCTCTTGACCTCGTGATCCACCCACCTCGGCCTCCTACAGTGCTGGGATTACAGGCTTGAGCCACTGCGCCCGGCCTATTTTTTTTTCTTTGAGATGGTCTTGCTCTGTCACCCAGGCTAGAGTATGGCATTGATCTCCCGGGCTCAAGCAATCTGCCTACCTCAATTTCACAAGTAGCTACAGGCACATGCCACCACACTGGCTAGTTTTTTGTAGAAATGAGGTCTCTACAAAAAACAGGCATGGAGCTTACATTTCCCCCTATAAGTTTAATGTTGCCCAGGCTGGTCTCAAACTCCTGGGCTCCAGCCAGCCTTGCTCCACGGCCTCTCAAAGTGCTGGGATTCATAGGTGTCAGCCACTACACCACCCTATGCTGCAGATTTGATGTTTGACTTCAAAGAAGTTACTTGATTTCTCTGTGCCTCCGTTATCAATATAAAAGGGGTAGGAAACAGTTTCTATCTCCTAGGGTGGTGTAAAGTAGTGTGAGGATTAATGCAAAGCATTTCAAGCAGTACCTGGAATATAGTAGCAGTCAGTAAATGTGGGCTAATCTCATTACAAAGAATGGAGGAGAAGGGAGGCTGGGAGTGGTGGCTAACGCCTGTAATCTGAGCACTTTGGGAGGCCGAGGTGGGTAGATCATGAGATCAGGAGTTCAATACCAGCCTGGCCAGTATGGCGAAACTCTGTCTCTACTAAAAATGCAAAAATTAGCCAGGCGTTGTGGCACACGAATCCCAGCTACTCCGGACACTGAGACAAGACAATTGCTTGAACCTGGGAGTTGGAGGTTCCAGTGAGCCAAGATCACACCACTGTACTCCAGCCTGGGCAACAGAGCAAGACTCTGTCTCAAAAAAAAAAAAAAAAAAAAAAGAATGGAGGGGAAGGGAAAAGTAAGGGAGAAGCTATACAGCAATCAATAAGAGAATTCTCAAGAACTGTCACCCACCAAAATTGGAATTCGCTGTAAAGCCTGGCAGAAAAAAAAATGGATTTCGGATAGACAGGTCCATACGGACCTACCTGTACCAGGTACCTGGTTATGCTGTCATTGAGAGACAAAGGTCTTCTTTAGAAAGAAAGAAAGAAAAAAACAACAAAGAGAGAGAGACAAAGGTCAGAACAGAAAGATATCTTAAAAATGTATTCCAAAATCCCTTCTCCTTTCTTCCATATGGCTTAAAATTTTGCTAGCTCCTTCACATTGCCTCCTGAGAACAAGAGTAAATACCAGAAGGACTTCAGTGTCCCCCTAACAATTTGTGGTCCTCTTAGGAGGGCTGTTTCGAGGAGGGAGCATCATGGGGGCTTGTTTCTCTGCTTCCAGATGCTTCCTGAAACTTGGAGAGTGGCAGCTGAATCTACAGGGCATCAACGAGAGCACAATCCCCAAAGTGCTGCAGTACTACAGCGCTGCCACAGAACACGACCGCAGCTGGTACAAGGTGATCAGAAGTAGGGCCACCTGTGAGACCCAGCACCCTGGCAGGCTTGCCCGTGTCCTCCTGTGTGCTTGTGGTTACAGCTGAGCTTCTGTGGAGCTAGGCTGATGCTGTGAATTTGCTTCTTGAGTCCCTGGAGCCTGTCTGCCTGAGGCCCAGGAAACACGCGTCTCCCCCTACAAGTTTAATTAACACAGAAAGACTGATTATTGTGAGAAATACTTGTTACACCATTAGTGAGAGTGTGTGTGTGTGTGTGTGTGTGTGTGTGCATGTTCCTGGGGATTGCTGCTGTCTAATAGACTCTGAGCTGCTTATTTTCCTGGGAGCATCTGGACACACAGTTAATCTCTCGAGCGTCATCTTCCCTTGGGTTGTCTGTTCCTGCTCAGCGTTTTTCTGATTTCCATCCTTGCCTGCTCCTCAGCTAAGAATTTTGTTTTTATTGGAAAGATCCAAGTAACATCCTGTTATGTTGCAGGAAACTTTTCAAAAAGATAAACAGAATAAGAAAATATATAAAAGGCCCGGCACAGTGGCTCACGCTTGTAATCCCAGCACTTTGGGAGGTGGAGGCGGGCAGATCACGAGGTCAGGAGATCGAGACCATCCTGGCCAACATGGTGAAACCTCGTCTCTACTAAAATACAAAAATTAGCTGGATGTGGTGGTGGGCGCCTGTAGTGCCAGTTACTCGGGAGGCTGAGGCAGGAGAATCGCTTGAATCCGGGAGGTGGAGGTCGCAGTGAGCCAAGATCACGCCACTGCACTCCAGCCTGGCGACAGAGTGAGACTCCATCTCAAAAAAAACATAATTGTGTGTGTGTGTGTGTGTGTGTGTGTGTGTGTGTGTGTGTGTGTGTAAAAGATGTGATTGATGGAGGGGTGATTTTTGGAAGTATATATCTTTGGTGAGAACACACATTCTCATTTCTTTTTGAGAGGCATCCTGGTAACTGCTTGGTGTGGCAGATGTCACTGATGTCTTTCCAATATCTCCTTGGCTTGCTAATACTTTGTGAATTAATCCCTCTGAAATCTAAATTTGCATCTGAAGACTGCAGAAGCACTTACCTCTGTCAAAGCATGCTTCATTCTGTTTGAAAAATGCCTATTTTGTGATATGAGTAATAACTCTCTGTAGGACAGCTTGCATGTCCAAAGCTGGAAAATACATCCAGTTAACACTTTACTAGCTGAAAGCTTCCTAATTAGAATTGTCTTCTAACCAGAGTCACTTTTCTTCATGTAGCTTTTAGGAAGTAAGCAAGTAACAAGAAAAAAGCTGATTTCAGGAACTTTAGTTTTAGTTTTTAAAAGCATTTCCTAATGTGGTTTCCTTTGGCTTTATGATGTCTTCCACCATCAACGTCATGGCCCTGTGTGCATACCAGGACTGTTGGTCTTGTTCACCTTGACCCCAGGTCATTGCCAGGCACTAGCAGATATACAAGAGATATTCGTTGAATAAATGAAAGTATGAGAAAACTGAAACCTGGGTCATTATAGAATTCTTACTCATCAAGTCAAGGTAATTGTGATCAATCTATGCTGCTTAGATGAGAAAACAGATAAATCTGTTTTCAAGGTTTTTGGTAAGGCATCCAAACACATTTTCTGATTATTCAGAAAGTCCAGCTATCAGTGGGTCATGTAGTTTCCTTCTATCACTGCAAAGTTACCATGCCTAGGAGCTAACTCTGCCCCACACTCACTGAACCAGCCAGTGGTACATTATAGAGCCACTGCATCTCAGAACCCCAGAGAGAGAGTAGTCTTCCTTTATCCAAAGAAGCACCCAGGGTTCTTCCATCAAGCATTGAGCACTGGTTCTCTGTCAGGAGATGGGCTAGGTGTTGAGACCAGGAAGATGGTGAGATTCTCTGTTATGCTCCTCTGCTTTTCCTGTCTTCCTTTGTCCACTATCTGGTGACCTGTCAAGACTTTGCTCCCCTGAAGTATTGTGATGACTGCTGCTTGCCCCCACTTCTGCTCTCCCCTAAATGTACACTTTATACCCAGTGCAGCTCTGCTTTCCCAGAGTGAAGTGCCAACCCCGTGGCCAAGCGTGCCTGCTCCAAGCGTGGTTGCTGGCCTCGCTCTCACTCCTCATCTGCGTGTATCCCCTGCTCAGTCACATCCATGGGCTTGTTTCCTGTGAGCCAATCTGCACATCTCTGGTTTTAGTCTTCCCCTTGCCAAGAAGTCCCTACCACTGCCCTCTTGTTTCCCTCCTTGTCCTTCTGCAGCTGTCTTCCAGACCTACCCCCAAATCCCTTTTCTTGACAAAGCTTTCCAAATTCCTGTCCCTGCCACTCCCATTGTGCCTTGCAGAGTATCTGAGTCTTCAGGGGTTGAGGCCTGGGTCCCTTGAGGCAAGAGCTCTCTCCTGCTCCTCCTGCTGTGCCCTCCCGCAGCACACCCACCACAGTCCTAACATTACATAGTTAGTGCTCCACCAGGTGAGTGGATCACATGGAATTTAGTAAAACAGCCATTCCCGAATATCTCCTTGAAGTGTTTGCTTTATAAACACAGACACGAGGCAGGAGCAGCTCTTCCTCAGCATTGACCTTACTTTCCTCTGAGCCCTGCTGTTAGTCACAGCTCTGGTGTCCATCCTTGGCTTTCTCCCCAACTAGGCCTGGCATGCGTGGGCAGTGATGAACTTCGAAGCCGTGCTACACTACAAACATCAGAACCAAGCCCGCGATGAGAAGAAGAAACTGCGTCATGCCAGTGGGGCCAACATCACCAACGCCACCACTGCCACCACCACGGCTGCCACTGCCACCACCACTGCCAGCACTGAGGGCAGCAACAGTGAGAGCGATGCCGAGAGCACTGAGAACAGCCCCACCCCATCGCCGCTGCAGAAGAAGGTCACTGAGGTACCCTTCCCTTCTTCCTTATTAACAACTGACCAAGGTGCCAGACTCTCTGATAAATGGAATCGTTGTTAAGCTTAAAAGGAACCTGAGGCTGTATCTGAAGTGCCAGATGGAGCTGGAAAATGCTGCCTATCTGCCATCCAGCACTGCCTGAGACAGGGCTTTGTGTGGATATTTGTGTTTGGGGAGCTGACGCAGCCTCCACGTTGAAAAGCAAGCTCCTTGTCAAGCTTCCCCATGGATGAGCTCATTCTCTACGTGCTGCCCCTGTGCGTGGGTGGCCGTGCACAGCTGCAGGTCCACTCTGAAGATCAGGCTTGGGAGGTCCATCCTCTGCCTTTTTCTGTCCACTTCCACTTCTTCCCCTTCCCTTTGGGCTGTCAGTTCAGAATGTACAAGGCAGCTGGCAGGCCCAGGATCAGGTTGTTCAGAGCCTCAGCCCCTCTCTTCCCGCCATCCTGTTCAGGAAGCCACCATCAGTTAGCTGAAGATAATAATAGTTATGATACAATTGCCATTTACTGAGTCTTTGCTTTGTGCCAGGTACTGATTAAAGGTTTTTATGCATTAACAGATTTAACTGTTATAACTACCCTTTGAGGTAGGTACTGTTAGTATGCTGTTATACCCATTTTATAGATGAGAAAGCTGAGGCAAGAGTGTCACTAATACATGTGTGTTCCAACAGGATCTGTCCAAAACCCTCCTGATGTACACAGTGCCTGCTGTCCAGGGCTTCTTCCGTTCCATCTCCTTGTCACGAGGCAACAACCTCCAGGATACACTCAGGTAGGGGAGGATGCAACTCTGATAGGCCGTGGTAATGGCAGGACATAGCAGTCACACGTAAAAGTCCTCTTTCCCTTCCTGACCCTGATCAGTACACCCAAGATCGGTGTGTGTGCCTTTTTTCTGTGCTGCATTTTGAGGAGTAACAGCTGACTGGACCCCACTCGTGTGGGTGAAACCTATAGAGAGTGAGGAGAAGTGGGGTGAGAACTCTCCATGTGTGGTTTATTATGTAGGGATTATTAACCCATCTGCTAATCACAATATTTCTTTTTTTTTTTTTCTGACCACCTGTTGCCTGTTGAAGTCACAGTATTTCTAAAATCCCTCAGCAATTTGGAGAGGTCTAAACAAATGACGCGATTCAGTCTGGAGGTTAGAGGTGACAGGCACGCTGTCCTCTTTCGTTTGAGGATCTCCAGCCAACTAAGAGCCAGGTGTCCCTGTTACCACTGTCCTACATGTGCAGACTTGTGGTTCTCTAAAGGTTATCCTGGCTCGTCTGTTTGATGTCTGTGTACATGCCATGGTAACCCCTCAGTGACCTGGGATGAAATGCTCATTTGCTCAGGGTGATTCTTGTGGTGTTCAGTCAAGAGCACTGCCACCCATCACAGACACCTGCTCCCACGCGAGGCCAAACACATTTGAGAATCAGTGATTGGAGTCCCTGTCTGCTCTCTTCTCAGGAGCCTTAAAGATGAAAAATAGGCAGGCAAAAACTGGGAAACTAAATTTTCTGTGACTTTCTCATTTCCTTTTCAGAGTTCTCACCTTATGGTTTGATTATGGTCACTGGCCAGATGTCAATGAAGCCTTAGTGGAGGGGGTGAAAGCCATCCAGATTGATACCTGGCTACAGGTGAGGACACTTGGTTACAGGTGAGGGTGGCTGCACTTCTCCTGTGTGTCTTCTCTTGGAAGCATGCCTGTTCAGAGTCGCGAGGCAGCGTCTGTTAATACAGTGCTAAGGAGGCAGGGCTGGATCCCAGGTCAAGTGTCCATATTTTCTTTAGTTTCTTTTAGAAACTAAAGGGAAGGGAGTGAACAATTTCAGAGCCTGACAGCATCAACCAAAACAAGTTACAAAAATTGATCTTTGCCTACAAGAGTAACTAGTTGTTTCGCATCTCATATGCTATGTACTGTGTCTTTTTGAATACCAGGTTATACCTCAGCTCATTGCAAGAATTGATACGCCCAGACCCTTGGTGGGACGTCTCATTCACCAGCTTCTCACAGACATTGGTCGATACCACCCTCAGGTATGTGGAGGCCTGGGACACTTTCTCATCTAACCACTGGTTGGTGTTTAGCCTTTATGAAAGCTACCGTGGAGATGCAGGCACAGGAACTGGGAGCCACGTCTTCCATCCTGGCCCAGGAGGATCTGTCCAGCCAGCCGTCCCAGAGGGCCCAGGAGCCTTGCTGAAAAAGTGTTCCCTCCAAGACTGAGTTAGCCCCTTCCTAGTAGTCTCAAGCAAGTGTTACAATGTTAATAGCACACTCACCACTTGTTTTGTCATTCTCCTTAAAGTTCACACCACCTGCCCCCCCCCACACATTCCTTTACAGATGTTCCTTCTGTCTTTCCCCCAGGCCCTCATCTACCCTCTGACAGTGGCTTCTAAGTCTACCACGACAGCCCGGCACAACGCAGCCAACAAGATTCTGAAGAACATGTGTGAGCACAGCAACACTCTGGTCCAGCAGGCCATGATGGTGAGTCGGAGCCATTCTGGGGTTCCACGGACCCTGGTCACCTAGCTGGTGGGCGTGAGTGGATTGTTTTTCTTCCTCGAAATGGTGCTGTGCACTCCCTCTTGCTGCCAGAAAGAGGACCTCCTGTTTCTCCAAAACAGACCTTTCTGAGTTTAGCTGATCCTTGGTGCTTCTCTCCTTCTTCTCTTGGCCTTAGGTGAGTGAGGAACTGATCCGAGTGGCCATCCTCTGGCATGAGATGTGGCACGAAGGCCTAGAAGAGGCTTCTCGTTTGTACTTTGGAGAGAGGAATGTGAAAGGCATGTTTGAGGTGCTGGAGCCCTTGCATGCTATGATGGAACGGGGCCCCCAGACTCTGAAGGAAACATCCTTTAATCAGGTATGGGATTAAAAAAAACATAAAAGGACATAACCTGGTAGAAATATTCTGTCACTAAAAAAAAAAAAAAAAGAGAAAAGTTTTTTAAAAATGAAAGGACATGACCCAAGGCCTTTGTCAGACTTCTTTTCCTCTAGCCTTTCCACTGACTTTAATAAAACGAGCTCTGATGGAGGCCACAGAGCATAAAAAACACTAGAAATGTAATTGCCATTGAGTTACAAGGACCCTCTTGAATTTTAACTGGAAAATCCCAAGATTTCTCAGGAGGTTGTCTCATCTCCTCTCACCCTTGCTTCCCTGTAAGCCATGCTGCTGGTCTGGGCTGCACCTCTGCTCTTGCTCTCTCCAGCCCCCTGCCAGTGTTTTCAGGCCACAGTGGGCTCCTGAGGGATTTCTGCAGTCAGCCTGGGGATTTTGCCTCCTGGCTTGGTTGAGACTTTGACCACTTGAAAATGTACCTGCTTTCTTTCTCAGGCCTATGGTCGAGATTTAATGGAGGCCCAAGAATGGTGCAGGAAGTACATGAAATCAGGGAATGTCAAGGACCTCACTCAAGCCTGGGACCTCTATTATCATGTGTTCCGACGAATCTCAAAGCAGCTGCCTCAGGTAGGATCTTCAGGCTCCTGGCAGGGTTAACTGCCAATATAGTCCTTTCTATTTTGCTGTCTATGAATGTTCTAACACTCATTCCAAAGCATCTGGTTTTACTTCTGCTTTGGGACAAGTAATTGTTATTAGCAATCCACTGAAAAATACTTAAATTGCATTTAAATTCCTCCCTGGAGGCAGAACACTAAATCCTTTGGTAATTATTCACAGCTCACATCCTTAGAGCTGCAGTATGTTTCCCCAAAACTTCTGATGTGCCGGGACCTTGAATTGGCTGTGCCAGGAACATATGACCCCAACCAGCCAATCATTCGCATTCAGTCCATAGCACCGTCTTTGCAAGTCATCACATCCAAGCAGAGGCCCCGGAAATTGACACTTATGGGTAAGGACCATTGCACACTTCTGTCACCCACTTCTCCCTCTTACCTTGGCTGAGCCCCCTTCCCTCTTCTGAAATTATGGCTTGCCGTTCCCACTGCTCACCTATCCTAACTACATCTCTACCATGCTCGTTGAGCGGAAAATAGAGGACAAGCGAATTTCTCATTATGTCCTCAGGACTCTACAGTTCATTCATGTAGCTGGGCTTATGTGAAGCATGATGATCATGCACAAAGGGAATGACCAAGGCATACAAGGCAGAGAAGTGACAGTGGAGGGCAGATGTTGGGGAACTGATGAGGCCAGGAAGGAGCCAGCTGGGTGCAAGTGGGGACGGTGTCAGCTCCTCTGAAAAGGGGGCTTCTGGCTCATATATATATAAACCATCATAGTCTGTGTGGTAAATGATTGTGTAAAATGAACAAATGAATCTCACAGTGAGATTTGATAAGCAATTGGCCTCTGGAATTTCCTTTCAGGTAGAGCGTTACCTATGGGGGATGTTTTAGGGAGGCCTGAGTGTTGTGGTGGTACTTTGAGGCCTCTTGCTTATTTTTTTTTTTTTTGAGACGGAGTTTTGCTTTTGTTGCCCAGGATCTCAGGTCGCTGCAACCTCCGCCTCCCAGGTTCAAGTGATTCTCCTGCCTCAGCCTCCCAAGTAGTTGGGCTTACAGGCATGTGCCACCATACCTGGCTAATTTTGTATTTTTAGTAGAGACAGTGTTTCACCATGTTGGCCTGGCTGGTCTTGAACTCCCAACGTCAGGCGATCTGCCCACCTCGGCCTTGCAAAGTGCTGGGATTAGAGGTGTGAGTCACTGACGGCTTCTTGCTCTTAATAATGCTCCTGTTTCTTAAATGCAGTGATTATTCACCAACACCAATTAATCGTGGTCCACAGGTGAATGTCTCTGCATGGGCTCTTGTCTTCTGATAACAAAATGTGGGTCAGGCTGGTTCTTGGGGTGTTTAATTAAAGAGAGTTTAACAAAGGAATTGTTTTCAGAGTGTAAGCAAAGCTAAGAGAATCAATAAGGAGCGCTCATGAATAAGCACAAGTGAGAAAACGTTACTCAGCCCTCACCCCCACACTCCAGAACTAGAAGGGCAAGGAGCCCAACAAGAACTGTCACCATGCTAGAGAGGCCATCTAGCAGAGGCTGCAGCCCAGAGACAGGGGCATGGCAGCTTCTGGAACTGGGGCCATGCTGGTTGTGGGGGGCATATATCCTGACCTCTCCCTCTACCCATCCTCTGATCTCCTGCCAGTACTCCTCCACCATTGGCCATGCCCAAGTGGGATCCCAGGTGATGCGGTCTATAGAAGTCAGCCTTCTCAGAACAGAGGAGAGCAGAGTGGGTCAGAAAACAGGAATGATCATTTCTGTGCCTAATCATTCCTGGTCCTCAAAAACAGGTTTTGTTTTGTTTTAATTTGATAACATTGGTCATTGGGAACCATAAAAAGCAAGGCTATTCTTTTAATCAATTCTAAGGATTGTTTTTTTCTTTTTGTGAGGAACGTGTGATTAGGTAAGGCATATGTAGTCTGTGGATCTCTTGAATGCAGTGGTGCTCTCAGCTGAAGAGCTGAGAACTTCTGATGTACACTCACTGCTCCCACTGTTCCTTACAGGCAGCAACGGGCATGAGTTTGTTTTCCTTCTAAAAGGCCATGAAGATCTGCGGCAGGATGAGCGTGTGATGCAGCTCTTCGGCCTGGTTAACACCCTTCTGGCCAATGACCCAACATCTCTTCGGAAAAACCTCAGGTATTCAGAAACCCTGAAATGGCAACGATTTGAGAAGTCTTCTGGTTTTTTCCTACATTCGTCTCATATTATACCTTAACAAAAAACTATAAAATTAGGGAACCAGGCACGGTGACTCATGCCTATAGTCCCAGGAACTCCAGAGGTTGAGGCAGGGGGATGACTTGAGCACAGGAGTTCAAGGCTGCAGTGAGCTGTGATTGCACCACTGCACTCCAACTTGGTTAATAGAGCAAGACCATCTCTTTAAAAGAAAAGAAAAAGGCTGGGTACTGTGGCTTATGCCTATAATCCTAACATTTTTGGAGTCCAAAGTAAGAGGATCACTTGAGCCCTGGAATTCAAGTCCAGCCTAAGCAGCATAGAGAGACCCTATCTCTATTTATGTAAAAAAATTAAAAAGGTGGTCGGGTGCAGTGGCTCACGCATGTAATCCAAGCACTTTGAGAGGCCAAGGCAGGTGGATCACTTGAGGTCAGGAGTTCGAGACCAGCCTGGTCAACATAGTAAAACCCTGTCTCTATTAAAAAATACAAAAATTAGCTGGGATGGTGGCGGCCACCTGTAATCCCAGCTACTCAGGAGGCTGAGGCAGGAGAATCGCTTGAACCTAGGAGGCAGAGGCTGCAGTGAGCCAAAATCGCGCCATTGCACTCCAGTCTGGGCAACAAGAGCGAAACTCCATCTCAAAAATAAATAAAAAAGAAAGATAAGGAAAAAAAAAAAATAAGTGGCCAGGCATGGTGGCTCACATGTAATCCTGACACTTGGGAAGGCTACAGCAGGAGGATTACTTGAGACCAGGAGTTCAAGACCATCCTGGACAACAAAGTGAGACCCTGTCTCTACAAAAAATAAATCAGCTGGGCATGGTGGCTCATGCCTGTTGTCCCAGCTACTTAGGAGAGAGAGGCAGAGGAATCATGTGAGCCCAGGAGATTGAGACTGTGTGCCACTACACTCCAACCTGGGCAACAAAGCAAGACCCTGTCTCTCAAAAAAGTTAAAAACAGGCTGGGCATAGTAACTCACACCTGTAATCCCTGTCTCTACAAAAGAATTTTAAAAATTAGCTGGAGACAGTGTAGTCCCAGCTACACAGGGGGCAAAGGCAGGAAAATCACTTGAGCCCAGGAGGTCAAGGCTGCTGTGTGCTGGTAATGGCACCACTGCACTCCAGCGTAGATAACAGAGCAAGATCCTGTCTCAAAAAGTAAATAAATAAATTTTTAAAAATGTTTTTCAAATGAACAATTAAGTATAAAATTTTATAACTTAATTTATAAGCAAGTTCTTCCAGAGTTTTTAGGGTATTCTCATTGGGAAATGGCCTTTAACGACCTCCAAAGAATCCAGCAGGGAGCAATTTGTGACAGGTAGACTGGAGAGTCTGCAGATGGAATGGGTCTCACCCCTTGTGGGTAAAAGTCAAACCTTTCCTATCATCAGTACTCTGGCACTCCTCTTCCTAGTAACACCATGAGAATTCACTTGAGAGGTATTTTAGTCTTAGTCACTTGGTTGGTTCCCCCAAAGCCATGAGTTCATTGGGCAGGTTGAGGAGACCATGTTGCTTTCACTGCACCATCAGTGGACTTTCTGTGATGCCTTATTCTTCACAAAGCGTCCCTCAATACACACTTCACACCAGCCTGGTATAGGGCGCTCATTAAAAATAGTCTGCCTGTGTCCTGAGCTGACCAAGGGTATACTCAGTTGGGCTTTTGACCTCCCTTTCCCTTTGCAAACTGATAAAAGCCCTGCTCCCTTTACGATACAATAACCCTGCTTTCCTGTGGGCACCAGCATCCAGAGATATGCCGTCATCCCTTTATCAACCAACTCTGGCCTCATTGGCTGGGTCCCCCACTGTGACACGCTGCACGCCCTCATCCGAGACTACAGGGAAAAGAAGAAGATCCTTCTCAACATTGAACATCGCATCATGTTGCGGGTATGTGATGCGGCCACAAGAGCCCGCACCCCTTCCGTGGCAGGGAATTCCGTAGAACTGCTCTTCTAATTCCTCTCTATATCTCTGCCACTGAAAAATCTCTTTTGAGAGAATCAGCTCTGAAGAAGATTTAATAAAGTCAGTCCAAAAGCAGATACCTTCTAAGAAACTGAAGGACCCTTAAGCTGAGAAATTGTTTTCACCTTCCTAGGGAAGACTAGGCAGATAGATATTCAGCACCATATATTCACTAATGTATACAAAGCACTGGCCATCTGGAGAAGCATGTTTAGTAGATGTGTAAGTAAGAAAATAATTGCTTGTTATCCAAAACCTTGAAACTTCCACTACTCTCATCTGCACAGAAGGGCTCTACTGAAGTGAGGTCTCCTGTTTTTCCCTTATGCCTTGGGGTTCCAGTGGTCATCAGGTTAGAGTGGTTACTTTGTTTCTCCTTTTGCCGTGTTCTTATTTCCCTTCTCCTTTGGCTGTGATGGGGAAATTAGAACTCAGCTCTGCCTGGACCCTAAGCCTTGTTTCTTCCTGGATGTACCCTATGTGTCTCAGGCTGCTCTCTTACTGAACAGTTGTGTCCTGATGCAGATGGCTCCCGACTATGACCACTTGACTCTGATGCAGAAGGTGGAGGTGTTTGAGCATGCTGTCAATAATACAGCTGGAGACGACCTGGCCAAGCTGCTGTGGCTGAAAAGCCCCAGCTCTGAGGTAGGCCACTGGGTTTTGCAGGCCTGCACTCCCCTGGAACCACCACTCACAATAGGGTGGCCTTCCCGTCTGTTCATGTGCACACAGTGGCTCTTCTTTGCTGTGATTGGCTGTAGAGCATGTCCAGACTTTCTAACAAAACTGAAATGGGCAAGCAAGACAAGTTCACAGAGTTAGAAAGAGTAGTTTAATGTTTTTCCAGAACTCTTTATATATTAAAGATAGTTGTCTTTTTTACATGTGTTACAAATTTCCTATTAACTTCGTTTTTAAAGTTTGCTAATGGTATGTTCCTTGGTTTGGGGTTTTTGTTTGGTTTGGATTGGTTTTTGATATACAGTCAGCCCTCCATATATGTGACTTCTGCATATGTGGATTCAACCAGCTGTGATAGAAAATATTTTTAAAATATATATTTAACAATAAGAAATGATGTAAATTTTAAAAATATAGTAGAATGACTACATTGTATAGCATTTACATTGTATTAGGTATTATATGTACTCAGAATGGTTTGAGGTATAAGGGAGGTTGTGCACAGGTTACATGCAGTACTACGCCATTTTATTTAAAAATTGTATTTGGGCCTGGTTCAGTGGCTCACACATGTAATCCCAGCACTTTGGGAGGCCAAGGAGGGCAGATCGCCTGAGGTCAGGAGTTCGAGACCAGCCTGAAAAACGTGGAAAAATCCCATCTCTACTAAAAATACAAATTAGGGGCCGGGTGCATCACGCCTGTAATCCCAGCACTTTGGGAAGCCAAGGTGGGCGGATCATGAAGTCAGGAGATCAAGACCATCCTGGCCAACATGGTGAAACCCCATCTCTACTAAAAAATACAAAAATTAGCTGGGCACGGTGGCAGGCACCTGTAATCCCACCTACTCGGGAGGCTGAGGCAGGAGAAGAGCTTGAATCAGGGAGTTGGAGGTTGCAGTGAGCCGAGATCATGCCACTGCACTCCAGCCTGGGGACAGAACAAGACTCCATCTCAAAAAAAGAATATATATAATATATATATATAATTAGCTGGGCATGGTTGCGCATGCCTGGAATCTGGAGGCTGAGGCCGGAGAATCGCTTAAACCCGAGAGGCGGAGGTTGCAGTGAGCGGAGATCGTGCCATTGCACTCCAGCCTGGGCGACAAGAACAAAACTTCATCTCAAAAAAGAAAAAATCGTTTTGGACAGGCGCAGTGGCTCACACCTATAATCCCAGTGCTTTGGGAGGCCAAGGCAGGAGGGTCACTTGAGCCCAGGAGTTCAGTACCAGCCTGGGCGACATAATGAGACTTCATCTCTCTTTTTTTCTTTCACCAAGGCTGGAGTGCAGTGGCATGATCTCAGCCCAATGCAACCTCTTCCTACTAGGTTCAAGCAATTCTCCTGCCTCAGCCTCCCAAGTAGCTGGGATTATAGGACCACCGTGCCTGGTTAATTTTTGTATTTTTAGTAGAGACAGGATTTCATCATATTGTCCAAGCTAGTCTCAAACTCCTGACCTCAAGTGATCCACCCACCTTGGCCTCCCAAAGTGCTGGGATTACAGGTATAAGCACCTACACTATTCTGTGAGATCGCATTTCTACAAAAAAATTAGCCGAGCATGGTGGTGCATACCTGTAAGCCTAGCTACTTACTTGGGAGGATCATTTGAGCCCAGGAGAATGAGGCTGCCACATCATGCCACTGCACCGCAGCCTGGGTGACAGAACGAGACCCTGTCTCAAAAGAATGATAATAATTTTTTTTTTAATTATTTTTAAGCTGGGTGCAGTGGCTCACACCTGTAATCACAGCACTTTGGGAGGCTGAGCAGATGGGTCACCTGAGATCAGGAGTTCAAGACCAGCCTGGCCAACATGGTGAAACCCCGTCTCTACAAAAAATATAAAAAATTAGCCGGGTGTGGTGCCAGGAGCCTGTGATTCCAGCTACTCAGGAGGCCAAGGCACGAGAATCACTTGAACCCAGGAGGCAGAAGTTGCAGTGAGCCGAGATCGCACCATTGC